CTTATAGATAAAATGACTCTAAATAAGATGAAAATGAGAAAAAGTTATTATAAATCAAATAATGAGGTTTTTTATTACGTTCCTACAGATTTAACTATTTATGTTAATCCAAATTCTTTATTAACATTGACGCGAGGCGAATTGTTAAAAGAATTGGAATATTTTTGTAAAGAATATCGAATTATTGAACTTGTGATAAGGAAAAATCAACAAAAAAAAAATTAATTGAAATTATTGTCGGAGAAATAAGTAACAATGACAAATGGAAGGGACCTAGAATTTGTGTAATAAACGACGTAAATAGAATAGAAAATAAAGACACTAGGAGGATTATTATTAATGATTTTCACTTATTGCCGACAAGCGGCCATGCAGGGATAAGGAGAACATTAAACAATATAAAAAAGTACTATTACTGGCCAGGTATGGAAAAAGATGTATTGGACTTTATAAATAAATGTGATGCGTGTCAGAGAAATAAATATTTCAGACATATTAAGGAACCACTTTCAATTACAACAACGTCATCTAGTTCCTTTGATAAAATATTTTTGGATGTAGTAGGTCCTTTAGAAAAAGACGATGACGGTTATGCTTACATTCTAACAATGCAATGTGAGTTAACCAAATACTTAATTGCTGCCCCTATGACATCGAAGTCTGCCGAGAGTGTGGCGAGAGCATTTGTGCAGCATTTTATACTAAGGTATGGTATACCCAAAACTATTGCATCAGATAAAGGGGCAGAGTTTATATCATCCACAATGAAAGAGGTAAGCAAGCTTTTAAATATAGAACAGAGATTTGCTGCTGCGTATCACCACCAGAGTATTGGCGCCCTTGAGAATGCACACAAAAGTTTAGGGAATTATCTCAGAATTCATTGCAGAAATAATTCAAGGTCGTGGAGTCATTGGCTACCATACTGGCAATTTTCTTATAATATAACAGTACATTCAGAAACTAAGTATACTCCTTATGAGCTTGTTTTTGGTCATGTGTGTACTTTACCTAATAGTCTAACTTCAGATGTTAATAAACTGTATAATTTCGATAGTTATCCCTTGGAACTAAAATTCAGATTACAAAGAGCTCATCAAGATGCTAAAAATAATTTAATTGCAAGTAAACAACATAGGAAATTATTGTATGATAAAAATATCAACCCAGTTATCTACAAAAAGGAAGATCTTGTGTTATTGAAAAATGAAAATTGTTCTAAATTAGATAATTTGTACTCTGGACCTTATACTGTTGTAGAGGATATAGCGCCGAATGTAAAAATCGAGAAAAATTCAAAGCAAATTGTGGTTCATAAAAATAGAACCAGACCGTATTATTGTTAAAGTATATACTTTCATTACTATAGTGTATAATGTATTGATGTAGTCGACTGTACTTTGTAAGAACTTCCTTAATATGGTATGGTATGTGTGAGGTATTGTATTGTTATTATAATAAAGATCATGTATCATTTTAGAGATTATTATGAAATGTAATCAATCATCTTATGTTATGCATTCCTATGTCTTATAATCATTAAAATATAATTAATATATAACATAAAAAAAAAGAACAAAAAAAAAAAATAATTGTATAACCATTTTTTTATTTTTTTATTTTGCGGGGAAGGTGTAGTGTAGTGATCTAAGAATGTATTAGTCGTAATCTAGACTTCATCTATTAAACACGTGTATCCTAATTAATTATTGTTTCCTTTACACCCGACACCTCAATAGAACTAGTTACAAGACGGCGGCGTGTAGTTCGCATTTACGGATTTCCGTAATTTACAGCAAAATGACTGCCTCGTTGGCCGAGTGGTCGCAAGTGCGACTGCCGGGCAAGGGGTCTCGGGTTCGATTCCCGGGTCGGGCAAAGTATTACTGGGTTTTTAAAAATCTCAGTAGTAGCACGGAGTCTGGAAAAATGTGCCCGGTATATGGCAATAGGCTCACCCCCTATTACATGGGACTCATAACGTAAATAGTGAAAAGTGGGTGTTACATTGTACAGTGGCATTAAGTGCCGAAATGTGCACCTCTGCCTACCCCTTCGGGGATAAAAAGGCGTGATGTTATGTTATTATGATTCGGACTCAGAATCGATAACCGAGTTACCTCCTAGAAAATGACGCGGCTTTAAAACAACACCTTGTATAGACGTCATCGAATAATTCACATACGTAAGCTGTTTTATGCCGCACGACAGTTATAAAAAATCATGGGTTCATCATCATCAACAGCCTATAAATGCACACTGCTGAGCAAAGCCTCTGCTCACACGGAGGAGGTTTGAGCATTAATCACCACGCTTTTTCAATGCGGGTTAGCGATTTCAAACTAGTAACTACAAATTATAAGCTCAGGTTTCCTCACGATGTTTTCCTTCACCGTTTGTCAGTGGTGTCTGAATAATCTTAGAAAGTACATATAACTCGGAAAAAGTCACATTGGTACTTGCCGTTGGTAGGTTTCGAATTTGCACATGAGGATACATGAGAAGCGCGTGTCTTTACCTCTGGGCCGACACGAAACGATACACACAGAACAGGGCCTTTAGCCAAACGCCACTTTAGCGCTTGTCTACAGAGAGAGTACAAATCAAAATGTATGGGGATGACTTGGACAAGTGTTAAAATTTACGTCAATTCCATATAATTTGGTTTTCTATTCTACATGTAGATAAGTGCTAAATGGCATTTGGCTACAGCTGCAGAATAGATAAATATTTTGTTTTTCGATACTTAATATTTATTATTTAGCCTCTGGGCCATCACGACAGTAGTCATGGCAACTCATGGGTTCCGTAACAGGGATGATGACAGGGTATGAAAATTAAAAATCTAATTAGTCCGTCAATTAGGTAAGGAAAAAATATTAGACACGTATTTTTTTATTTTGTCGTATAATAAAATGATACTGAGATAAAACGAATCAAAGTTTAGGAGTGGGGTCTAAAACGTCATTTCTACGTATAAAATGTACATAGAAGTGACGTCATGCGAAATTTCAAATCAATATAAAGTATTCTTTTCTGTAAAAAAATAAAAAATACGTGTGTACCTAATATTTTAAAATAATCTACCAGACGGACATTAAAATAAAAAAAAAACATTGGTTGCCTGTAAAGTCGGTATACGGGCGAAAGTTTTACGTGACAACGACTTTGAGTGGTAATTTATGTCTGTCTCTCTCGCTCTTAGGCGGGCTAACCATGCCCGAGTGGAAGGGACGCGTGCCTCTCACTCGCTCTCATTGTGAGCGCATAACGTGAGCGGAGCGTAACGCAGTTTCTTGAAGTGTCACCCGGCAAACCAATTTATAAGACGTTGTCACGTTAAAATTAGTCATCAACCCTATTCTAAAAATGTACCCTTTTCTGTTACAGTACCTCTTCTAAATACGATCTGATGTATGAGATTCTAGCGTCGTCATCCAGGTTGGATCCTCCTGTGGAGTAGCCATTTTCTGTGATGAAGATGTCTACGTCTCCATAATGCTTCCTCACCCATTCCATTTGTTCCCTGATACCTGGAGGGTATATCTGGAAAGAATAGATGCTGTTACCTTCCCATATAAAAAAATATCAGAAAATATTTAGATAAAGTGGTCGTCGCAAGTGCTACTGTCAGCCGGGCAGGGGGTCTCGGCTTCGATTACCGGGCCAGGCAAAGAGTTACTGGGTTTTTAAAAAATTCAATAGTAGTACGGAGTCTGGAACTGTGCCCGGTATATGGCAATAGGCTCACTCTCTATTACATGGGACTCATAACATAAATAGTGAAAAGAGGGTGTTACATTGTACAGTGGCATTATGTGCACCTCTGCGTACCCCTTCGAGGATAAAAACCGTGATGTTACGTTATGTCATGTTATTTATATAACTATACTGTCTGTGTATTTGGTATATTCTTACGCAAATAGTTTATTAGATCGTAGTCTCACCACTGCTTTTTCTTATTTTGATTCTTAAAATAGAATGAGTTTTTGTTTAAAAACCAGAATTTTGCCCGAATACTGAAACGCTACTCAATTTTAAGTCGTGCTTAAGTATAGTTCTATCTCTACAAATTCTTAGTAAAATGACAGAGATGGCACGATATTTAAGCACGACTTAAAATTGAGTAACGTTTCATATGAGTATTAGTTTGAAGCAAATTCCACTCTGCTTTTTTTTTATTTAAAAAAACGTTGCCCCACACTAGGATTTTCTCCTGTGTCGTGGTTGCGTTTACAAACATACAATATCACATACACATGACACCCAAACCCGGAACAACAATCTGTGGATCACACAAAGAGTTGTTCCGTGCGGGAATCGAACCCGCGACACGTTGCGCGGCAGCCAGTTGCCCAGCCACCGCGCCAACCGTGCAGTCAAAGCTTGTCTTAGAAGAGCTACTCTTTTAGGAGAGGAGAAGAGAGGAGGAGGATATAATAATCTCAGACCATGTCCGGACTCTTGGTAGTAACATTTAACTTAAAAACTTATGTAAGTAGACATTATATCATTATAATAGGTCACAGGTACACCTTTACACAAATGGCACGAATGGGCCGGCTCGAGCGGACTGATACCACGGCCTCACAGAAAACCGACGAGAAACAACGCTTGCGTTGTGTTTCGTCGTGTGAGTGGGGTTACCGGAGGCCCAATTACCCCGCCTCCCCAGTCTCCCCAATCTCCGAATCCTCCACAATATTCAAATTCCCAATACCCAAAAGGCCGGTAAGGTAACTTGTAACGCCTTGATGTTTCAGGTGTCCATGGGAGGCGCCACAGGGCGCCGATTGATTACCATTAGGTAATCCGTCAATAGATACAAACAGGACAGTACAAAATCATTCAAATAATTATTATATTTACTTAAAACAGGATGCCATTAAATCAACCCAAACCTAAAATCTAGCCTTAAGTAATACAATCAAACCTAAAACTATAATTATACTTTTAAAACGACCTAGTAACTGGATCATTCAGAGAAAATAACTTCTTACCGGCATAGTCTCACTGTAACCATAAGTCCACGTGGGGTCATTCTCCAGCACCAGATCAGCATCAGGGATGTATGTGAAGAGAGACTCCACGACGTCTTCATCGGGCTCTGCAGCCCTCACCAATCGGGAGGTGTAGTGGTTCATGGCGAAAAAGTCATAGGTTCCTAGGAAAGAAGTAAAATATTATGAAAAAGTATTGATTATGGCTGTTGGCGATATGATATGATCATTAACATCGAGAGCAGCGGTGAGATGGTGGCTAAACGTCAACCTACCAAATGTAAAAAAAGTATTTCATTCATCATCACCTCCTTCATAGTCTAGTTGTAATCAATTCTTTTTTTACTCGTACTCAGGGCTGATTAGCAATGTCAGACATTGCCAGTTTTTAGATGACTCTTACCTCTGACCAATTCAATTTCCTCTTTAGTAAAAGGTGGCAGCCTCGATTCTCTAAACCCTTGTTCTTTGCTAACCTTTGCAACCGTTTTTTCCACCACTGATGGCCATCCTCCCTTCTTGGAATATATGGCATGAGCATAGCGACCAGTCTGAATAGAGATAAAATAATAAGTATCAATTTTTTGGTTTACCCCAAAGCTTTAGATCATCATCAGTCTAATGACGATGTTATACTTACAAGGAACTGTCTTGCGATTTCTGCGTCTTCTTCATATTCAGAAGAATAAGGCTTCAGCCATAGCAGGTGGTTTACAATAGAGAGTTTTCCTAAAATCATTATAAACAAATTTAATTACAACTCAGGTCTCATGATTCATGAAAATCTTTACATCTGTTTAAAGAGAAGTTCTTTAGGTTTGAGCGATTCGTATCCTCTTATTTTGATTAACTTTGACAATATTGCTTACATCGTAACATTAGTAATCTAAACCTGATGCTGCAGAATCATTTCAAAGGCGATCAGCTCTTCAATGACTTATAGCAAAGGCATTGTGTTTGGACTCATTGTAATTGCCTTGATGAATAGCATTTAGGTAACAGTAGACTTTAAAAAGTTTCTGAAAACAACATTTACTTACCATGGTACTTATGACGGAACTCATGATCGTAAACTCTGTAGGCCTTCGCGTGGGACAATAGGAGATTCTTATTGCACATATATGGCCCCACGTAGTAGTCCAGTTGTGGAGCTAGGACGCCTTGACCGTAGTACCAGTCGCACTCCACGATAGGTTCATTGATAGTTAGCCAGATCTTCACACGGTCCCCGAAGAGAGTGAACACCACCCTCGCGTAGTCAGCGAACCAGTCCGATATTTTGGGGTTGGCCCATCCACCTGAAAGAAAGGTAAACTATAGTTGGACATTTTGTTTGGGAATAGGAACTTTAGTCATGATGAATGTGTGTAATGCCAAAAACACTGGCTGAGATCTCGAATAAGGTGAAGAAATGTTCGGCAGGAGGAAGATCTCATTTGGTTTCTTTCGTTTTGGATACAATTTATAGTGTAGGTTACCTTACAAAATCATTGTTGACATAAGAAATTAAGGTAAAGGCACCTAATTCCGCGCTGTTTTTAACATAACACGAAAGAACATTATAAATTAAGTATTTATCGGACCTTTGTGTACAATTTTATATTTTTATCAGAAGTGTTAGCTATCAAATTTTTGAAAAATATTTGCAGTTTGTCAGTAGAAGGTTATTGAAGCTGATAAAATAAATAAAAATATAAAAAAGTCGGAGGTACCTTATTCCGATTTAAAAATCGTAATTCCGATGCATTTGGTTCCTAATTCCGAGTATAAAAATAGAAAGGGAACTATGTAGGGAGAATTATACATGATGTTTAAAAGTCAAATCTGTTTATTTTTATATTACTTAATCAATTCTGTTTTTGTTTATTCTAGTTTTATTCTAAACCCTGTTTTTATTAATATTATTCCTTATAGATGATTAGTATTCTTTCAGTTACTAAACGCGTATCTACTAAGCACATAAAATAATGAACACTCTGTATTTAAACAGGGTCTTAACTAACTTCGGAATTAGGTTCTCATGTAATCTTATTCCGACGTAAATACAACGGAATTAGGTACTCATGTAACTTATTCCGACGTAAATACATCGGAATAGCGTTTTATGATGCTAAATCAAAGTTTCTAATTCCGAGTACTAAAAAGTAAAAGATTTTTTAATATTATGGAAATAAAATAATGTATAGTTACAATATGAAAGGAAAACAAATATAAGTACATACATATAATAACAGAACACTTATAAAACCTAATTCTTCACTAAAATCTTCTATACAACGTATTAATAAGTACCTGTACAAACAATTTTTGACCTGCTATATTAGTAAATGCGACGCCACGGTGTACCTCGGAAATAGATTATTAAATGTATGAGTTATTCATTAAGTCAGAACTAACACATTAAAGTTTATAATCATAAAACAGACACCGAAATTTAAAAAAAACTAAATGTCTTTAAATTTGTTTTCCGTGGTATACATCGGCTTTTAGGAACACACTAAAATATTTTGCACTAATGCCGCGGTATTTTAAACACTTATTTTCTTGCTAATTTGCAAATAAAATACTCAAATCTTAAGTGTTTTCGATAAAAAATATTATCCTTTCAATATTTCAACTAAACGAAAACTCGCGTTGTATAAAATTATTACGTAAAACACTATTTGGCAAATCGTAATACTCACGTGCTAATGGTCCCAAATGTATGAAGTGTGCTTTCGACGCCGCACCCCGCGGCAAAATGACCGATTATTTTACAGTGTGACCATACTAAACTCTCCTTTGTATAAATAAATATGAACAGATAGTTATTAATTCATTATTTTATCATGCAGACCATAAATAACTAGTAAATTGCTTTAAAAAACCGTTTTTCTAAATACATCGGAATATGATGCCATTTTTAGAACCCCTCGGAATAAGGTGCATTTACCTTAGAGACCTCTATTTCATTTTGTGTAAATTTCATACCATTTCCAATATATTTTTTTTTTCACAAAAATAGCTTCTGCTACATAACATTGAACCGTCTCCTGTGATCAAAGTACTTACCCAAATCTTGCAGCAATTGTGGCATTTCCCAATGGTAGATACTGACAATCGGTTCGATTCCCTTCTCCAACAAACCATCGATCAGGTTGTTGTAGTAGTTCTTGCCATCATCACTGATCTCGTTCGGGAGACCAGTTGGTAAGAGACGAGGCCAGGATATGGAGAATCTAGAATGAGAGTTCATTATAAAAAAAACCGTTTTTTCAGCGACTCGTTTATGACTTGCTGTCCAAGAACATATTTAGAGTTATAATGACGTTATCTTTATTGTCGTCATCTTTATTGAGGTATGTAGGAATGGTAGTAATTGGTGTTCCATAGTCTTTGCCTATCCCCATGGACGGGCGTGAAGTCATTTATTTATGTATGTATGTATGTATCGTCTTCGAATTTCGTAAGTCCTTACTTATATTATAAATCGGAAAGTGAGTTTGTTTGTTTGTTTGTTTGTTCCACTTTCACGCCGTAACTACTAAACCGATTGCTTTAAATTTTTTCAGACGTGAAGTTAGAAGTCTGGATTAAATAATAGGGTACTTTTTATCCCGGAAAAATTTGATATTCTCAAGGGAAAACGAAATTATTGGTATAGATGGCGCTGTGTGTATTGGTATATGTCACGTAGGCTACTTTTTATCCTTTTGTGACGCGAGCGAAGCCGCGGGTAAAAGCTAGTGTTCTATATCGAGGGGTAACGGGCTATTTGGTTTAAGCGACATTTTGGGCGATATTGAGTTATATATATATTCGGAATCAGCGAATTTTTCTCCGTCGAATGATGCCGGTTTCATTAAAATCGGAGCACTTTTTTGGCGTTTCAAACAATTCTATTTTCATGTTGTTTCCAAAGTGGCAGTGTATTAAACGACATGGATTTCGCATTTTTTATTAAATTTTGTACTTGAACCATACCATCATATTAATAACCGAGACATAAACCAGTCACCCTATCTCTAATGATTAAGTCAACATGAGTTAAAGCGTTTTTCTTGTTTCTAATTTTTATTAACAAGTAACTTGAATCATTTTGCCTTCCCACTAATCACACGGTGTGATGTCGCTTAAAACATTTGTCCGTCATCCAAATGCGTCATGGTACGTCTCTTAAACATTTCTAGCTGCCTCTATTTTACACGCAGGGTGCTACTTAACCAATAGTTGTTTTCGTTCAGATATTTTGTTTAGTCATAAACCATTTAACCCTCATTTTTTTTATATGCATGTCGTTTTATACAGACGATAACATTGATAATGAATATTGAAACATTTTTCCAGTATTCATAGAATACGAGTCGGTCTTTCAATCACTAAGTTTTAATATGGTACATTTCAATCATGTCATATGATACCATATTTAATTCATCGCTCTGGTGTTAAAAATCGTTATCATCCAACTGGACTATCGTGCGCTGGCGCTTCAGTCACTCCAGAGTGCGCCGAAGACAGACGGGACGCGTGCACACCGCCAGTGTTTACGTAAAACGCTCATCGAAATTGAATCCTAAGTACTTTAATTTCAAGATGAACCTCGCGGTCATTCGAAGAGTTTGGCAACAATGACTTTGATGACATACAATCTACGGCTGATTTAGCAACAGCTTTCGACGTTAGCGTCAAAACAATATTGGTACATTTGCGTCAAATTGGCAAGGTAAAAAAGCTTGACAAGTGGGTGTCCACAAACTAAATGATTAACAGAGCTAAGTATGCATCGAGCAGTGCGAGGGGGACTGGGATGCCGTCTCCTCCTTTTGCGAAGCAGTAATGCTAGCTAAGGAGGAGGCGGGACGCGTAAGGCAGCAAAGCGCTGGCTCCTCGCAACCCAGCCATCGCGAAGGACACACGTGGCGTCGGGGATCGCGGGACGATCTCCAGTTACCGTAAGCGCGGGCCTGCGGACGGTGAGCATGGGTGGCTCCCCGTCGACCAGAAACAGACCCGAGAGTGCGGCGCGTCGCGTTCCGCGCGCGCCTCAAAGAGCCATCAGACCACCACAGATGGGGCCCAACAGGGTCGATGCCGATTCGGAGTCGCGGAGAACCTAACGGGTAACCGGGGCTCCGGCTGATTTTTAGTCAGTAAGAGTCTGACACTCTTTCCCGCCTCACCCAGGCGGGAGCAGCCATTCGATGATTTTCCACCCTTAAAAAAATGCATCGAGTAGTGCCTTGCACTGCACTGCTCAATATTACACACAAATGAAAGAATTTTGATTTGCATTGTCACCTCCGATGAAAAATGAAATCTGCGTGATAACCACACGCGTTTAGCATGTTGGTTGAATCCTAGTTCAGCACTAAACAATGCCCTAAACGAAAACTTACCCTAGAAAAGTGATGGTCACTGATGGTCTAGCGCTCGCGCTATTCTGATTCATCACAAATTCTTACCAAACGGGTGAGCATTACTACGGATGTGTAGTGTGAAGAACTGAACAATGATGGAGAAGCTGACACATCTCCAACCAGCACTGGTCAATCGCTAATCTCATTGCTCCTGCATTACAACGCGCGACCTAAAGCTGCACAACAGACGGCCTCCACGTTACAAGAACTGGGGTTGTGAAGCTACCAGACTACTTCTTTTTCCAGAATTTGGATAACTTCTTGGCGGGAAAAAATTTAATAACCGAGAGGCAGTACAAAATGCATTTGAAGAATTTGTTACTACCCGTCCAGCTGATTGAAGAAGGGCATCAATAAACTGCCACTGCGTTGGCAACGATGCATTGATTGCATGGGTGATTACGTTGATTATACAAATAAAAATACATGAAAAAATCGTTTAAATTTTTTCATACAAACGGCAATTTCAATTGATTTTGCTGAAATTTAATCGATATCCTATTGAAACTGTAATTATTACTCTAAATAAATACTTTGATATTGTGTTGTGTTTATTTATTCAATGTAAGCATCTGAGATTTTCGGTGATTGCGATATATCCAGGTTGTTTTATCAGCCATTAGTCGCCTTAGATGTAAATAAACATAAACATTAAACGTTATAATTTCAATGTTATATGTCACATAAGTAAATTAGCCTGTCACTCATTTTAGTCTGAATTGGTAGTTAAGATAAATAGCTTGCTTCTATTAATTTTGGGTTTCGTCACTTCATATTTTTTAGCTTACTCTGTAAATAGAGTGCATTGTCGCTTAATTTTTTTTCCTTGTAGCCAATTGTAGCTATAAAGTCACTTAAATCATTTTTCCTGACTCTAAAAAAGGGCAGATTGTATTAAGCGACATTTATCTTTGTAATTAAAGGTCCGCTTTATTTAGAATTAGCATCAGATCAACTCTATCTCTAAAGAACTCTCTTCTTCCTTCCACCTCTATGCCGATGATCTGCAGATCTACACACAAGCTTCACTTCATGAATTACCAGATGCTGTTGCTCTAATTAACCGCGACATGGCACGAATTAGCGATTGGAGCATGAAATATGGCCTGCGTATTAACCCATCCAAAACACAGGTGACGGTTGTCGGCAGTTCAAGGGCTGTCTCCAGAATTGACTGGTCTACTCTTCCCCAAGTATCTCTGCTTAACACAAAAATTCCTTTTTCTACGAAGTCAAGAACTTGGGGATTTATATTGACAGTACTCTCTCCTGGTCTAAACAGATGCAGGAGGTCAGGTTCGCAGAATGTTTGCCTCGGCGGGATCTTGAGGCGTCTTCGAAATTTCTTGCCCACTACTACTAAAATGCATTAGCACAATCCCTACTTCTACCAATCCTCGACTATGCTGATGCCAGCTATCTTGATCTCACCCAAGAACAATTAGACAAGCTTGAGCGCCTTCAAAATCTTTCTATCAGGTTTATATTTGGATTGCGCAAATATGACCATGTCTCCGAGTTCCGCAATAAGCTCAAATGGCTGCCTATTCGCCTTCGCCGGAATACTCACATTCTTTCACTTCTATACAATGTACTCTTTAATCCCACTACCCCTTTTTATCTAAAAGAGCGTTTTACGTACCTTGGCAACTCACATACGAAGTTTTTGAGATCATCGGAGAGCTTGAAATTAAACGTCTGTTTGCATTCCACTACATTTTTCGACAAGTCCTATACAATACAAGCAGCACGGTTGTGGAATGCTCTACCGATTGCGTGAGGCGAGCTCAAACCATTTCACAATTTAAAAAACTAGTTAAAGAATTTTATCTAACTTTATAGTTTTTTCTTGTCTCCTACTTAACATGGTATCACACGTACACATACATGCATAAACGCACACACGCACACTTACACACCATTATGTATTATGTTCTAATTTATTCTTATTTATTTAGTTATTTATTTATTTATTTATAACTTTTATGTAGGCATATACATAATATATTTATTTATATATATATATATATTTTATTTATACATATTATGGTTTACACTGTATTATATTATTATTTTCTTTTAAAGTCTTTAACTTGTACACTTGACGACCCATATCTAACTCCTATTACAGCTCCATCCAAAGGTTGTCTGTAAGAGATCGCCTTGTGCGATAAGACCGCCCATTGTGCACTATATTAATTGTTGTTTGTCCTATGTGTTTATGTGGTGTACAATAAAGAATATTATTATTATTATTATTATCAGCAACTAGATAATTTAATTTAAATTTCAATGCAATTTACCCCGTTCAAATAACTGCAGAAGCGTTTTTGTTACGAATTTTTTTTCGAAATTTCAAACTTTAAAAGGCTCTCCTGTAAAGTTGCAAAAATGTCGCTTAAACCAAATAGCCCGTTACCCCTCGATATATTCAATTCGCTTTCCGTCAAAATAAAAGTAGCCTACGTGTTATTCCAAACCATAATGTATGTCTGTTTCAAATTTCATCCCAATCCCTTCAACCACTTTGATGTGACCGAATAACAACATACACACAAACTTTCGCATCTTCTGATTCGCAAAGTGCAAACTGTACATTGATTATTTTTTTAAAAGAATGCTTGCGGTGTGATCTACAAACGGCACCGAAGCTAAAAATATGGTTTATAGATTTTTTGTCTGTTTGTCTTTATGTATGTCCGGGCTAAACTCAAAAAGTACTACATGGATTTATTTCAAATTGTGCATGAATATTACTCACAGGTCGAGTTAACAGATAGGCTACATATTATCACACTATCACCAACGGGGGAGGAGCTGTGAAACACTATTGTACGCGAACGAAGTCGCTGGCAACAGCTAGTTTATAATAATATTAGTAAGATTTATAAGACGTTACCTGTAGAACTGTAGGCCTAACTCAGCAGCCATCTCAATGTCTCTCCTCCAATAGTAATAGGACTTGCAGGCATTATCACCGTTGTCATGGTTGGTGAACAGTTCAGGGTATCTGTGGGTCAGGCGGTCCCATTTGCACTCTCCTTTATCTGAAATATAATACGTTTTTTTAACTCGTCGAGTACCGGTTTTATAGACACAATTATAGAACAATAGGTTGCGGTCACCGGTGACCGCTTGGTGTTTGACAGTTTAATGTTGGTTAATACTTTACTAGTGTGAGCATTATCGAGGTTTACTGAATGGTCTTCCTTTTCTTTATCCGGGCTTTTTTTTAAACAACATTAGTGTCTCAGTGAATTTTTATTTGGACTTAGACAAATGTCAGCATTTAGATGCAGTGACTACCGAAGCTGCTAGATCTTTAGCCTGTTGACTAGCCGTGATTATTGATGATCAACCCTCAATAATGAGTACATTGAAGGTACCAAAAAACGGGTATTAAACACTACCGACCGTCAATTTACTAGTGGTTAAGGAGCTAATTTACTACAAATTTAAAAAGTGTGGGACAACAAAGCTTACACCCGTCCCCCTTCTCCAATCTCCCTAATCCCTGAATCTCCAATAATCGTCAAATTCGTAATCCCCAAAAGTCTGGTATTCCAGATGTTCATGGGCGACGCTGATTGCTTACCATCCGGTGATTTGTCTGCTAATTTACCGGATTAGCCAATAAAAAAAAATCATTCACCCTATTTGTCTGAAATTGAAATAACATCCACTAAAGAAGTGGTCTTAGGAGACGACAGAAGATTACTTACCACTGACATTATAAGCTCCTTCTACCTGGTATGCAGCAGTGGCGGCTCCGAACTTGAACCCTGGAGGGAACTGCTTGCTGTAGCCATACACATGGCTCACTGAAGCCCTGAAGAAAAAGGAGGAGTTAACTTTAATATATCTCTAAGTTGTGGGAGTGCCATGCTTCGGCAGGAAAGGGCCGGCTTGACTGCAGTGATACCACGACCAAACAGATAACCGACGTGAAACAATAATTGCCGTTGAGATTCGTCGTGTGCGTGAGGTTACCCGAGACCCAATTACCCACCCTCCCAAATCTCCCAATCTCCGAATCCTCAATAATCCTCAAATTTCTAATTCTCAAAAGGCTGGTAACGCACTTGTAACGCCTTGATGTTTCTGGTGTCCACGGGCGACGCCAATTGCTTACCATTAGGTGATCCGTCTGCTCGTTTACCGACTTTTTCCATAAAAAAATCGTCTTTGTCCCACTAAATTAAAATGTTCCGAAAATTGCCACACTTTTTTGCTTATGTTATCCGTCATAATTAATTCCTAAATGTTCCGAAAATTGCGACTAGTTTTTGCTTATGTTATCCGTCATAATTAATTCCTATGTGTCACATGTGTAGATGTTACGAAGATGTCTCATTGTTAGCGAGTCAACGATTAAAAAAAGCAGTTAAAATATATTTTTTAAGAAATATGCCCATGGACACCCGTAACGCCAGAAGTTCCAAGTGTGTTAGCGGCATTTGGGGATTTGGAATTTGATGATTATTGGGGAACCGGGAATTGAGGTGATTGGGGAACCCCCTCTCCTCCTCTCCTTGCCCCCGCAAATGGGCCTCCGGTAATGTCACTAACACGACGAAACACACTTAAAACTTGCGTTTACGTGTGAGAGAAATAAACTTAAAACTTACATACATAACATCACACCTTTTATCCTCGAAGGGGTAGGCAGAGGTGCACATTCTACCACTGTACAATGTAACACCCACTTTTCACTATTTATGTTATGAGTCCCATGTAATAGGGGGTGAGCCTATTGCCATATACCGGACACAATTTCAGACTCCGTGCTACTACCGAGATTTTTTTTAAAACCCAGTAATATTTTGCCCGACCCAGGAATCGAACCCGAGACTCCTGGCCCGGCAGTCAAACTTAAAACATAATATTTGTAACTAAACAAATACCTGGTACAATATTGCAATTACGACTAACAAACCAAGAATACATAATACACGAGGGCATACCATCTATGTAGACTTCATAACATTTAGGAAATTCAATTGATATTATAATAAAAAAATACGGAATTAAAGTAGTTGCTTTGATACAGTTTTCCGGAGTTGTGATTGTTTTGCCAATAACTATTCTTTATTATGATTCATGACAGCAATAACTAATTATTACTTGAAATTAACGTTAGCTGTTAAATTCTTATCAAACGTTTAACAAACATATAAAAAAACATAAATCCGTTTGCGTGATCTATGATAAGAAATAGTTCATGCATTAGGTATATCTGTTATGTTTATATATCTATGTGATGTGATAAAAAATAGATTATTAGATTAGGATTAGTCTAATCTTTACGAAGTTAATTACGAAAGCAATTAGGTATTATTTCGTGACCTGTACAATACAGAATCAACATCATCATCAACAGCCTATAAGTCGCCAGTGCTGACCAAATACCTCTTCGTAACGTGGAGTAGGTTCGAGCATTAATCACCACATTTGCTCAATGCGGGTTGGTGATTTCAAACTTAGAATTAGAATTTATAAATCCATATTTCCTCACGATGTTTTGCTTTCACCGTTTGTCAGAGGTGTCCAAATAATCTTAGAAAGTACATATAACTCGGAAAAAGTTACATTGGTGCTTGCCGTTGCTAGGTTTCAAAGCCCCCCCGAAACGATACACACAGTCAGAATAGATAAATATTTTACATTCGTTGCTTAATATTAATTATTCAAAAGTTTGTTAAACTGATAAACTGCTTTTATAAAATGATTATTAAAAAATATTTAAGTAAATTTAGTAAGACGAGTTGTTAATAAAAAATAATAGGATGACACATCATAAAAAAGGATCTAATAAGAAACAAAATATCCTTACGACCTTTGTAAAAAGATTAAGAAAATAATACTCACAAAGATTACGGTGCTGCTATTTTTTTTTGTAATTAGCAATTCAAAGGATTTTGGTTTGTATGCAATATTTTTTTTAAAAAACCACAGGTAAAATACGTATAAGTTTTTTCTTGAGTTATTGACCGATAATCATTTGGTTAATTTTCTTTGGTATTTACGACCAGAACCGACCAGGGTGCTTACTCTTGAATCCAATTCCGATCGATCGACATTGACATTGTGAAATTTCGTACTCTTGAGTTGTAACACTAGCGCCTTTTGCATCCGTATAGCGTGGATATTGAATGAACTAAATGGTATTGAGTTTGGCTTTATATTCCGTACTCTAAATGCTATATTAACAGCTACGATTGTGGTTGTATAGTTTTGACATTGAATAAGTATTGAGATTTTATTGGATTGAAATTGCATTGACATTGAGATTGGTTTCAAGAGTAAGCACCCAGAACCGACCAGACCCGAGCGTGCGGCGCGTCGTGTTCCGTGCGAGCTCCAAAGATCCATTGGACCACCACGGATGGGGCCCAATTCGGTTGATGCCTATACGGAGCCGCGGAGAATGTAAAAGGTTACCAGGATTCCGGGTCGAAGTGCAGGAGTAGGAACGGGGTAGTTTTTAGTCAGCAAGAGTCTGACACTCCCTCCCGCCTCACCCCGGTGGGAGAAGTCAATCGATGATTTTTCCCACCCACTTTTCACTATTTATGTTATGAGTCCCATGTAATATGGGGTGAGCCTATTGCCATATACCGGGAACAATTTAGACTCCGTGCTACTAGACAGATTAGGCAGTAAATAATAATGTAATCGCCCTTACAAATAACCTTGACGCCTTAACTGTACTTGGGATCAAAGTAAAGGAGCCAATAGCGTTTCTGCTTTTTCATTTCTTCATAAATATTTTCTGATTTTTTATCTCTTTTTCCTGTTTTTTATTAATTGATAGGCAACGTATGTCGTATAAAAGTAAATTGGGTAGGTACTTGCCAACCAGTCAAATTCAATACTTTTTTGAACTGTCAACAACGACAGTTTTCTATGAATTTTGTACGAGATTATGTATTGTGACGTCACGTTTTTTTAGCGTCCAACAGCGTACTTATTTCTTAAAAAATTGCTGGAAAAATACTAAAATTAAGTTAATTATAAAATGAAATAATGAAAGTATGATTATTTTTTAACACATTATTGTATTGAACAGTCGAAATAAATTTAGTTTTGATTAAGGAAAGTACCCGTAGGTAACTAATGCCTTCAAAATATTTATTTAAAGTTATATACTTAAAAAAAAACCTCTAGTTTCGTAAGGCTCCGTTACTTTGATCTCAATCATACATATATGCCAAAAAGTTTTTAATTAAACAACTTTGCACATGAACTCACCAAAGGACGACGGTCGTGACCCACAGCATGTCGTGAACTAAATATCGTAAAACAGAACGATCACGTCTTATATATAAAGCCAGTAAGCGTCCAAATGTTGTTTACACTTAAACAAATAAGTATTTTGCGAAAACGGCCGCGTCTTGTATTATCTTGGTATTAAGTTTATCGAATGACTTCGGTCAATCATTAAGGCTTGTACCTTTGTCGTAAATACCTTAACGAAGAGCAAAATGTGTAATTTTAGATAAAATAACATAACATCTCACGCCTTTTTAGCCCCGAAGGGGTAGGCAGAGGTGCACATTGCGGCACTTAATGCCACTGTAAAATGTAACACACACTTTTCACTATTTATGTTATGAGTCCCATGTAATAGGTAGCCTATTGCTATATACCGGACACATTTCTAGACTCCGTGCTACTACTGAGATTTTTAAAAACCCAGTAATAGGTATTTTGCCCGACCCGGGAATCGAATCCGAGACCCCTTGCCCGGCAGTCGCATTTTCGATCACTCGGCCAACGAGGCAGTCTTTACTTTTATTTCGACGTATAAAGAGATATGTGTCCATGGGCGGCGCTATTCGCTTACCATCAGGTGATCCGTCTGCTCGTTTTCCTCCTATTCCATAAAAAAACAATATGAATGTTTTAAACATAACATCACGCCTTTTATCCCCGAAGGGGTAGGCAGAGGTGCACATTATGCCACTGTACAATGTAACACCCACTTTTCACTATTTATGTTATGAGTCCCATGTAATAGGGGGTGAGCCTATTGCCATATACCGGACACATTTCTAGACTCTGTGCTACTACTGAGATTTTTAAAAACCCAGTAATAATTTGCCCGACCCGGGAATCGAACCCGAGACCCCTTGCCCGGCAGTCGCACTTGCGATCACTCGGCCAACGAGGCAGTCTTTACTTTTATTTCGACGTATAAAGAGATATGTGTCCATGGGCGGCGCTGATCGCTTACCATCAGGTGATCCGTCTGCTCGTTTTCCTCCTATTCGATAAAAAAATAATATGAATGTTTTAACTTAAACCTTTTAAAGAGTAGACGGATTAGGGTAAACACCTAACTTCTATTTTAATGTCCGTCTGATACATTATTTTAAAACATTATACACGTATTTTTTTATTTTCTTACAGAAACGTATACTTTTACGACATATTGATCTGAAATGTCGCGTGACGTCACTTCTATGTACATTTTATACGTAGAAATGACGGTTTAGCTCCCGCTCCTAAACTTTGATTCGTTTTATCTAAGTATTATTTTATTACTTGTACGAAAAAATAAAAAATACGTGTCTAATATTTTTTCATTACCTAACTGATGGACTAAATAGATTTTTAATTTTCATACCCCGTCATCATCTATCTATCACGCCTTTTTATCCCCGAAGGGGTAGGCAGAGGTGCACATTATACCGCTGTACAATGTAATACCCACTTTTCACTATTTATGTTATGAGTCCCATGTAATAGGGGGTGAGCCTATTGCCATATACCGGACACAATTCCAGACTCCGTGCTACTACTGAGAATATTTAAAAACCCAGTAATACTTTGCCCGACCCGGGAATCGAACCCGAGACCCCTTTTCAACAATAACTCCCTATGGGATGCACATATGAGACCCATAGGGAGTGAGTCAATCGCCATATAACGGATTAATTTATAATATTGAAAACCTTATTATATTATTTGGCCCGAGTGAATAGGTTGCTTAAGGGACGACGTGCTCCATCGTAGACCGCATCATCACTTTCCATCAGGCGAGATAGTGGTCAAACGCCATCCTACTGCATTTAGAACTTACATCGACAGGATCGATCGATTTAGAATAAAAACTTCTGGAGATTTCTACTCAACAGCTACTCTTTTAAGCACTCAATCCTCGAGTCAACAACAAAACATACAATACAATACTTTAATAAAATACAATATTTAAGGTATGCCTTGTCAGTAAATTGAGAAATTATACAACCTCTTTGTCTAATGTTAGTGCATATATAAGAATGGAAACAGCCTCTTCATTATCCTTCTCATTATTATAACAAGCCAAGACGTTTGCAGCTAAATATAGACCTTCCCCAATGACTTCAGTGTTATCATTATCATCATCATATCATCCCAATGACTCCAATGCCCGAATTCCTTAACAATCCTCCTGTTGAAAATTGATTTTTTTTATGGCATAAGTCGGTAAACGAGCAGACGGATCACCTGATGGTAAGCAATCGGCGTCGCCCATAGCCACCTGGAACACCAGAGGCGTTACAAGTGCACTACCGGCCTTTAGGGGATTATGAGTTTGAAAATCGTTGGGGATTCAGGAATTGGGGAGATTGGGGAAGGGGAGGGTAATTAGGCCTCCGGTGACCTCACTCACGCGGCGAAACACAACACAAACGTTATTTCACGTCGGTTTTCTATGAGGCCGTGGTATCACTCCGTCGAGCCGGCCCATTCGTGCCAAAGCATGGCTCTCCCATACTTGAAAATCATCCCCTAAATTTGTTCAATCAAAGTAGTTTCTAAACATTGGAAATAAGGTCTATAATGTAGTTAGTGGAGAGCGGTCACCGGTGACCGCTTGGGGATATACGGGTTCCCTAAAACGCCGGTAATGCACTTGTAACGCCTGTGGTGTTTCGGGTGTCCATGGGTGACACCAATTGTCCGATTGTTTAGCTGATAAATTGTAACTGTGTCATAATATGTCTGATGATGAATCTGCATCAATGTTTGCATGCCAAAATGGTAGAGTACAACACAAAAAAAACACTTATAAGGTATCCTATTAGTGTTTTAATATCACCTTACTGTAATACCTGCATTCTCAGCAAATGAATAATTATTCTATTCTATTGCTTCCCATCAGGTGATTCGTCTGTTTGTTTACCAGCTTATCCCGTAAAAAAACGACTTAAGAACGTAGTCATTGTGTATCGAATGAATAGTTAAATAATGTCAAATAAATATACTTTATTAGACTGTAATCGCAAGTGCGACTGCCGGGCAAGGGGTCTCGGGTTCGATTCCCGGGTCGGGCAAAGTATTACTAGGTTTGTTTAAAAATTCTCAGTAGTAGCACGGATATGTGCCCGGTATATGGCTATAGGCTCACCCCCTATTACATGGGACTCATAACATAATGAAAAGTGGGTGTTACATTGTACAGGGGTATAATGTGCACCTCTGCCTACCCCTTTGGGGATAAAAGGCGTGGTGTTATGTGTAATATACTTATTAAGATTCACACAATTCGTATAACGCCCTCAGCGTGTGGAACCTTAAAAATGCACTTCCATGACTCTTCCATGACCTTTCTTCTCAATTTCAAGGTTTAATTAATCATAACTGTCCACCGGTTCCATAGCTGTCAAAAATTAATTGTAAACTTGACATTGGTATTGCATATTCGGTTGTGAGTACACGGTATTGGCATTGGTTTAAATCCTTATCGTGATTTATCGAAATCTGCTTCGCAATTTTGTAGTTACTAAGGGACAAACGGACTATACTATAGTAATAAAAGATGCATCGTGTAAAAGTTTACAAAAATGTCTATCTTTAGTTGCATTTTTTTATATACTAGCTTCTGCCCGCGACTTCGTACACGTAATCCCATATTTTCCCGTCCCCGTTCGTGATTTTCGGTAAAAAGAAAAAAAAAATTTTGGTCATAAAGTATCCTATGTCGGTCTCCTAGCTCCAAGCTACCTCCCTACCAATTTTCAGCCAAATCTATTCTGCCGTTCTTGAGTTATAAGTGGTGTAACTAACACGACTTTCTTTTATAGATATATATAGATTAAACGATTTTTTTTAAAGATCTTTGTTCCACCCTTTGGTTTTGTTCTGTGTCGTGGGCGCGTTTACAAACATTCAAGTTCACATACACACGACACCCAGACCCGAAACAACAATTTGAGGATCACACAATGAGTTGTTCCGTGCGGGAATCGAACCCATTGCCCGTTGCGCGGCAGCCGGTCGCCCAACCACCGCGCCAATTGTGAAATCTTAAAAATCTGCAGACTGAAGTGGCAATGGGCAGGCTATGTCGCTCGACGGATTAACCGCAGATGGGTCAGGAAAGTCCTAGAGTGGACCATGGACCGGAAGACGAAGCGTGGACAGGCCCCCCGCTAGGTGGTCGTCGTTATATGTCGATTGTTAGAGAATGCCACTAGGCATTACGTCCGCCATTGTATATCCACTGTGCAAAAAGTGCAAATAAATAAATATACATGAATAATGATGATGCACAACAAGCTGTAAACCGTATTTTAAGAGCCACAAACTAATAATACTTACATCACTTTATATATATGAAACATTAACTTATGTCAGAACCAACAAAGATTTATACACAGTTGCTTTCAAAAGTGACTATAGGAAATTACGGGATAAAACAGACTAAAACTCGAGGTTTGTTATGGCAAAACAGCCTTCAGGAATAAAAGTTTTCTTTGCATGGCAATTGGCACAACTGTTACCATATATATGTAATAAGTTAGCAGACAATGTAAAATCACTCAATTTAAATAAATTTAAAGCGACCGTACGGAAACTTCTCATTGACAAATGTTAGACTTTCTAATTGATAAATTTTAACATTATGTATTCAAGACATTATTTTAACATTATGTATTTCATGACAATGTTATTATTGTTTATATTGAATTTGTAAATCTTAATAATTATGGTTTACTATTACATTGAATCTGACAGCTCTTTTTTACCATATTTTGCATGCCAATAAATTTACCTATACGGCCACTATATTATAAATCTGTAACAACCTATTTGTAAACACCTACATTTTATGCCAATAAATGATTTGATTCTATTTTATTTGATTTGATGATGGGTCTGTACATGGAAATCATAGAATATAGATAATTAGCGAAATGTCCGCATATTACATTAGATAACTTATTTCTTAATCACGTTTTGTTATCGAAATGGCTCGTGAAGGTGATTTATTTACGTGTGGTACCGATGTATGTACAAAGGTACGGTTTTAAATTCTTTATTGTTGTCATTGGGAGGGCGACATACTGAACGACTAGTCGGTGTGACAAATCGCCTACATATTTAGCTTTATGCGTTTACAGGCACCGACTTCTAACCTATCAGTGGGTGTGTAAGCTATAAGTACGTATGACCAATAATAATTCTCACGATGCTTTCTGCCTCGCACAGCAAAACTGTGGAATGATCTGTCGTCGGCGGTATTTCCGAACCGATACGACCTTCAAATCTTCAAGAAAAGAGCGTATTCATTTTTAAAAGGCCAGCAATGCACCTGTGACTCCTCTGGTGTTGCGGGTGTCCATGGGCGGCGCTGATCGCTTACCATCAGGTGATCCGTCTGCTCGTTTGCCTCCTATTCCATAAAAATAGTAAATTCTTTCCTTTTAGTTTTACTTTTCATTTGTCTATAGTTTTTGAAGTAGGTTTTTTTACGTAAAGAACCGTCTTCAAAAACTAACAGACATATACGAAAGAAGTATCTTTCGGTTCCTTTATGACTTTAATAGCCTAACGTTACTCCTTACTTGGATCAATAGATGTCACTAATAGGTTGGTGAAAACCAAAATGTCGTTAAGAAAGAAAGAAAGAAGAAAAACCGTTTACTACGCCACGACAGACATGAAGACAACAATACAATAAACATAATAATAATATTATGGTGCGTCGCAGCGCAAAAGGCCGGAGCTCAGCTTAGTCCTGTGGCCTGGGCATGAAGGCTCGAGTCCATAGCGCTGATTTTCAGCCCCAGCCTGTTTAAACTGTCAAACACCAAGCGGTCACCGGTGACCGCAACCTATTGTTCTTTAATTGTGTCTATATATACGGTACTCGACGAGTTAATACTGTTGGGGCCCACCACACCTCCACCCACCAAACGGTGCTAGCGTGGGCATCACCAGTACCAGTATCGCTTAGCTTAGAAGTTCTTTAAAATTGGAATGGAGTTTCTTGCTCGTTCTTCACCATTCGTTTTTTTGGAATGAGCACGCTTTTTTTTTTGGAATGAGCACGCACGATGGAATGAGAGCTTCACCTAGCTTCACTGACGGACTGACTGACAGACTATTATTTATTTTGTATTTGTTGACGTTCCAAAAGTACCAAAATATTGTTTAATTGAAATAAATGCTTTGACTTTGATTGGAGAGGAGTTAGTGACCCCTCACCCAAAAGACCCAGAATTTTGACACATATGCCTTTAGTGCAGAATATAGCGAATTCCCATTCCCACAATAGTTGAAGTGAGTGAAAGAGATGGTGGTTAAACAACAACCCATCAAGTATAAAAATTATCATAGCGTATGTAATAATAATAATGGGTTAATCCCTAATAGCCTCGACAACCACCGTAGGAGGCTGGCGTTAGGTGGATGGATCAAGAGTCTGATACAGAAGGCAGTTCTCCTTGAAACGGCCCGGATCGTGAGAAGGTTTCTGTCTCTGGAGCCCTAACTACCGGTAGCTTGGACCATGCTCCCGCTACTGGTCGGCTCCTATTTTTTATATTTTTAGATATTATATTTTTATTTTGAAAGTAGTATTTAAAAATGTAATTTGTGGAGAATTTTAAATAAATAAATGCAAATAATAATAATATCACCATTACAGGCTGCCTCGTTGGCCGAATGGTCGCAAGTGCGACTGCCGGGCGAGGGGTCTCGGGTTCTATTCCCGGGTTGGGCAAAGTATTACTGGGTTTTTAAAAAAAATCTTGTAGTAGCACGGAGTCTGGAAATATGCCCGGTATATGGCAATAGGCTCACCCCCTATTACATGGGACTCATAACATAAATAGTGAAAAGTGGGTGTTACATTGTACAGTGGCATAATGTACACCTCTGCCTACCCCTTTCGGGGATAAAAGGCGTGATGTTATGTAATGTTTAAATAAATAAATGAAAATAATAATAATATCATCATTACATACGTATATGCATAACGTGTAGAAATCCTTATATATATGACATTTCTATATGATAATTTGAGACTAAAAGACTTAACTTTTAGTCTCAAATTATCTTATAATCTCGTAGGCTTAGTGTTATATTAATCTAATACTTTTGCTTAGTTTTATCTTCAAACAACAACAAGATTATATAGTATTTATACGTATACATATTTACACGGTATGCGATGACGCCTGTGGTGAAGAATTATCATCATCATCATATTAGCCATTTTTTTAAGGGGGTAAATCATCGAATTACTGCTCCCGCCTGGGTGAGGCGGGAGGGAGTGTCAGACTCTTACTGACTAAAAACCACCCCGTTTCTTCTCCTGCACGTCGAGGCTGGTTACCCGTTTTTTTTAAGGGGTGAATATCGTCGAATGACTGCTCCCGCCTGGGAGGCGGGAGGGAGTCAGACTCTTACTGACTAAAAACCACCCCGTTTCTTCTCCTGCACGTCGAGGCTGGTTACCCGTTTTTTTTAAGGGGTGAATATCGTCGAATGACTGCTCCCGCCTGGGTGAAGCGGGAGGGAGTGTCAGACTCTTACTGACTAAAATAAAAACCACCCCGTTCCTACTCCTGCACGTCGAGGCTCGTTACCCGTTTTTTTTAAGGGGGGAAAATCGTCGAATGACTGCTCCCGCCTGGGTGAGGCGGGAGGGAGTGTCAGACTCTTACTGACTAAAAACCACCCCGTTCCTTCTCCTGCACGTCGAGGCTGGTTACCCTGTTTTTTTTTTTATTAAGGGGGTAAATCATCGAATGACTGCTCCCGCCTGGGTGAGGCGGGAGGGAGTGTCAGACTCTTACTGACTAAAAACCACCCCGTTCCTTCTCCTGCACGTCGAGGCTGGTTACCCTGTTTTTTTTTTTTATTAAGGGGGTAAATCATCGAATGACTGCTCCCGCCTGGGTGAGGCGGGAGGGAGTGTCAGACTCTTACTGACTAAAAACCACCCCGTTCCTTCTCCTGCACGTCGAGGCTGGTTACCCTGTTTTTTTTTTTAAGGGGCGTAAATCATCGAATGACTGCTCCCGCCTGGGTGAGGCGGGAGGGACTGTCAGACTCTTACTGACTAAAAACCACCCCGTTCCTTCTCCTGCACGTCGAGCCGGAGCCCCGGTAACCCGTTAGGTTCTCCGCGACATCATATTAGCCATAGGACGTTTATATCTGAACATAGGCCTCTTATTATAATTATTATCTCTTACGGGAAAAAAGCTGAACAATCAAGTTAAAAGATCAATAATAAAATCAGCCGCCAACATAATAAGCATAACTAATTACTGAATTTTAATATATTTCGATTAAAACTATTTACTTTCAAGTGCAAATAAGAGTTACACGAGGCATGGAATTTTTGACATTCGAAAACCATTACCCATCATTTGGCTGGCCGCGGTAAGCATAACTAAAATTTAAGAAAATGTACGTCATGGGAGTCATGGGTATTATCTAAGGATGAAAGTGCACTTCCAACTTCACCGGTGATCTATCAATCCATCTGATCTGCTGCTGCTTTACCTTCTTCATGTCGTTGTTAGTGTAGCATGATTTTCCGCAAAGTATTTTTCGCATGGGCCGCATAATTTCTATGGGCCTAACGGTTCTATAAATTAAATTATTTGATGATATTCCCCCTCAAAAAAAGCTTAATTTTTTATGGGATAAGCCGGTAAGCGTGCAGACGGATCACCTGATGGTAATCAATCCGCGTCGCCCATGAACACACGCAACACCAGAGGAGTTACAAGTACGTTACCGGCCTCCTGGATTAGGAAATAGAGGATTGTTGGGGATTCAGGGATTGGGGAGATTGGGGAAGGGGAGAGTAGTTGGGCCTCCGGTAACCTCACTTACACGACGAAACACAACACAACATTGTTTCACGTCGGTCTTCTGTGAGGCCGTGGTATCATTCCGGTCGAGCCGGCCCATTCGTGTCGACGCATGGCTCTCCCACACTTTGTTCCTCTACACAGGACCAATGTCACAGTCACAATAAATGAAACAGGATTTTTGGATAGTTTTTAAAGTTTTTTTTAATTTAAACGTAATTTAGTCCAATATGTCGATGGTTAACAGACCGACTTCGAGCCGGCCCATTCGTGTCGACGCATGGCTCTCCCACACTTTGTTCCTCTACACAGGACCAATGTCACAGTCACAATAAATGAAACAGGATTTTTGGATAGTTTTTAAAGTTTTTTTTAATTTAAACGTAATTTAGTCCAATATGTCGATGGTTAACAGACCGACTTCTCGTTACTTTAGAATAGTACCGAGCTGACTCCCGTGGTGTTCGGGTGCGATTCGGATCCTTGAAGTCCACTGAATACAGTCCGAAGTTTACACTGAAAGTAACATGGGAATTAATATACAATAATTATACAGTTTTTAATATACATTTTTATACAGTTTTTAGTTATAATATACAGTTTTTAGAGAAAAATATGGCATGTTTTTAATTACTGATATTTTTTATTATATTCACAATGCTGCCATAATTATTTGTTGTGTTATTTGCAAAATAATTACTTAATATATGCAAGAAGACAGATTTATTTATTTATTTACTAGCGACCCACCCCGGCTTCGCACGGGTCCAATATGCATATATTATACATATAAACCTTCCTTAAGAATCACTCTATGTAATAAAAAAAACAAAATCCGTTGCATAGTTTTAAAGATCTAAGCATACATAGGGACAGACAGACGGCGGATAGCGACTTTGTTTTATACTATGTAGTGATTTATTTCAATCTGATCAACAGTCGACAGTAAATTGTTAATGATGTCAAATTAGTAATAATACTTTTAATATAATGTGAAATCTGGTATAGCTTATTATCATCAACAGCCTAGGTATAAAGTAGCCACTGGTGACCAAAGGCGTCGTCTCGCGCAGAAATGGATTGAGCATTAATAACAACGCTTGCTCAATGTGAGTTGGTGATATCAAACTTATAATTAAAAATTATAAGCCCAGGTTTCCCCACGATGTTTTCCTTCACGGTTCGTTAGTTGTGTCTAAATAATCTCAGGCAACAAATACATTATACCTACCCACTTAAATTTAATGATAAAGATAATCGAGCAAGCGGTTCTGAGTGCGAGCAATTATCGATTTTTGGAATTGCCACTTAACCTCTTATCTGCCGGTATATGAGACACAATAGAAAACCCTGTAATGATAGACTTTGTAATGTCGAGTAAAATAATATCCAGCAAAGCTCGACTTGCTGTAATGCAGGGTGTATTGCCACAAACGCTTATCTATGGTAGTGAATCATGGGTGTGGCAGAAGAAGCATGAAAGCAGGATTAATGCGGTGGAAATGAGAGCTCTGAGAAGTATGTGTGGACTAAAATTGAGTGATCGAGTGAAAAATAGTGTTTTTAGAGAAAAGTGTGGATTGAAAGATGATGTAAAGGGAAAGGATTGAAAAGGGAATGTTATGCTGGTTTGGACCTGTAAAAAGGATGGATGAAAGTAGAGTAACAAAAGAAGTATACAGAGCGGATATGAATGGGGCCGTCATAGAGGGCGCCCGAGACGGACATATTGACAATAAATTAAAGAAGGGCCAAATTAAAAGTACCCTTAACCGACGAGCATGCATGAAAAGATTGATGACTGTTGATGAAACGAAAGAGGTATGTAGGAATCGTAGTAATTGGCGTTGCATAGTCTCCGTGTTCATACCACACATCGTGGCATACCACGGGTTAAAGCACGGAGGGTCGTGGACGGTGTAAGGTCTGCTGCCTGGGTTTCACGTATGTTAATATATTACAAATTGTTATTTTAAATGTTGTACTTACTTATAACCAACCATCCATTCGAAATTGTCCATCAACGACCAGTGAGTGTATCCAGTGACATTGATCCCATCGTTGATAGCAAGCAGTATCTGAAAATCATTAAAATGTACCTATGTCAAATAAAAGGTACTGCCTCGTTGGCCGAGTGGTCGCAAGTGTGACTGCCGGGCATGGGGTCTCGGGTTCGATTCCCGGGTCGGGCAAAGTGCTACAGGGTTTTAAAAAAATTCTCAGTAGTAGCACGGAGGCTGGAATTGTGCTCGGTATATGGCAATAGGCTCACCCGCTATTACATGGGACTCATAACATAAACAGTGGAAAGTGGGTGTTACATTGTACAGTGTTGTAATGAACACCTCTGCCTACCCCTTCGGGGATAAAAGGCGTGATGTTATGTTATGTTATGGGACGTTTAGTTTGTGTTATCGTCGTCATCACAGTCACCAACATTTTGAGTGTGGGAGAGCCATGCTTCGGCACGAATGGGCCGGCTCGACCGGAGTGATACCACGGCCTCACAGAAAACCGACGTGAAGCAACGCTTGCGTTGTGTTTCGTCGTGTGAGTGAGGTGCCCAATTATCCTCTTCTCTCTCTCTCTCTCTTTTATCTAATCTCAATGTCAATGCAATTACAATCCAATGAAAACTCAATAATTATTCAATTTCAAAACTAAACAACCCCTATCGTAGCTCTTCAAACAGCATTCAGAGTACGGAATATGAAGTTAAACTCAATACGATTTAGTTCATTCAATATCCGCGCAATACGGATGCAATGGGCGCTAGTGTTGAAACTCAAGAGTACGAAATTTGACAATACCAATGTCGATCGATCGGAATTGGATTTAAGAGTAAGCCCCCTATTATGTGTTTCCATTAGTGGAGTTGTCGTTAGATCACCAATCATGCATCAGGTCCTACCTTTAGTGACAAGCTTATGGCTAAATCGACATTGATATTAACTTTGAGGAAAAGAGGATGCGTATCGTAAAATATGTCTTAGAAAACATATATTAAAACTAGCTACTTCCGCGCGGTTTCACACGCTCTGCTTAGCTCCTATTGGTCGGAGCGTGATGTATTATAGCCTATAGCCATCCTCGATAAATGCACTATCCAACACAAAAAGAATTATTCAAATCAGACTTGTAGTTACGGAGATTAGCGCGTTCAAACAAACAAACAAACATACTCTTACGCTTTATATAATAGTATAAGATATTTTGCAAGTTATTCTATATTAACTAAGCTGATAACACAATCAATATTTGTACAACTGGTTTAAATTTTCTGTAAAAACATTTGACAGTGGTTATAAAATAAAAATGAATACAAAAACAACTTTATGGCGGCCGACCGTGAAATGACACGTTACTGATTATTGTCAAACTAACACCTATAACAATCCTTACTAATACTAATATACTAATATATACTAATACTAATATACTAATATATACTAATACTAATACTAATATACTAATACTAATATACTAATATATACTAATACTTATATACTAATATACTAATATATACTAATACTAATATACTAATACTAATAATATTATAAATCAGAAAGTGAGTTTGTTCGTTTGTTTGTTTGTTCCACCTTCACGCCGTAACTACTAAACCGATTGCTTTGAATTTTTGCAGACGTAAATTTAGAAGTCTGGATTAAATAATAGGGTACTTTTTATCCCGGAAAATTTGATATTCTGGAGGGAAAACGAAATTATTGGTATAGATGGCGCTGTGTGTCATTTAAAACCAGTCAACGAATTACCTACTTATTGGAAAAATTAAAATAGCGCGATATAACCGAATTCCACGCGAGCGGAAAGCTATTTGTTTGTTTGCCTGTCTTAAACGGCAAAACGGAGGTACTAATTAACGTGATTTTTTAACTGAAGGTAGTTGAAGGGATGGAAAGTCTGCTTTTTATCCTTTTGTGACGCGAGCGAAGCTGCGGGTAAAAGCTAGTTCCTTTATAAACTACGTTTAAAAAACCCACTTCAATCCTCTCTTTTACTGAAGTCGGTTAAATAATATACTAAAACCTTAACTCAACTGCGATACTCACAGTAATGCATACACCCATAGATCCCCAAGCGGTCACCGGTGACCGCTCTGTACTACCTACATTATATACCTTATTTCCAATGCTTAGAGACTACTTTTGTATGAACAAATTTAGGGGATGAATTTCAACGGGTTAAACTATTTCTTAGTAACGATTTTGTTCCGAAAACAATTACTGAAGACTGGGTTAGGTAGCCATTAACTCGTCGAGTACCGTATTTATAGACACAATTAAAGAACAATAGGTTGCGGTCACCGGTGACCGCTTGGTGTTTGACAGTTTAAATGACTCTGATTACGGCGGTAAATGTAACGAACACGTCTCTGAAAACTATATCAAAATCGGTTAAGTCAATCGAGAGTTAATCGGGCAACAAACAAACATACATACAGGACAAATGAAAACCTTCTTTTTTTGAAATGGTTAACACATTAAACGCCATGGGGGTCACCGATGACCGACATTAGCAGAGGAATTGCGTTCAACAGTTTTCTATTGGCAGAGAAAACCAAAAAAATACTAAGAGCTTGTAGGAAGACTGTATGCATAATTTTTGACGTACCTAAGTAATTTACATCTCAACGCAACTTCTTGCTTTGCAGTTTATGGCATACGAAGCCCGTTTCTGCACTTATCAAAGGTTGACTGGTGTAGTGTGGCTATATGTTGTGTATTTTTAAGGGGGGGAAATCATCTGATGACTTCTCCCCCCTGAGTGAGGCGGGAGGGAGTGTCAGACTCTTACTGACTAAAAACCACCCCGTTCCTACTCCTGCACTTCGAGCTAGAGCCCCGTTAGGTTCTCTAGCCTTTATATAACTATGTCTGTAATCTGTTGAGACAGTAATAAATCGCACTCGAATAGATTACACGTGTTTAATTGTTCTCTCCGAACCACCACTTTACACTGGCAGATAATGCTTTTAGCATTAACACTTATTGTAGCTCTATTGACTTTGGCCGTAGCCCAGTCTTTGTCAAATATGCAGTTTCCTTAGGCAGCGCATACAAGATTCGCAGAAAGATTAGGGGTGGTACAAACAGATGCACTCGGCACGTATCTCTTTAAACTTCACCTGTTCTAAATAATCCTTAGTATATTTCAATCTGCTCCAGTCATTGAGTTGTTTGTCCACTTTAATGTATCCATTTTCTGTGATTATTATCTCCTTTACTCCATAAGTATCGTTCAACCAGTGTAGCTGTCTTCTTACGCCTTCGGGATGCATCTGAAATTATTAAGAAGTTACGAGTACATCCATTTTCTGTAGACCCTAACTTGGAGTTGCAGTCATTTCTGGAGATAGTGGCGGATTTGCTCAGTAAAAAAATGTGCGATTAGGGTTTGGGGATTGTGGTGGGGGATTTGAATCTATAAACGTTGAGTTTCAGTTCAAATGTGTGGGTGAAAATTGCTAACTGAACTAGGTATCTCAGGGAATTACACAACTGTCTTGACGCCCGCTACAATCATACAAGTTTTTTTTTTAAAACGTTGGCCCACACTAGGACTTTCTCATGTGTCGTGGGTGCGTTTACAAACATACAAGTTCACATACACATGACACCCAGACCCGAAACAACAATTTGTGGATCACACAAAGAGTTGTTCCGTGCGGGAATCGAACCCACGACACGTTGCACGGCAGCCAGTTGCCCAGCCACCGCGCCAACCGTGCAGTCATGGGTCATTTATAGTCAATTTACACTTGCTCTTAGCTTCTTTTGAAATAGACCGAATGACTTTAGTTTTTAACATCAAAACCAGACTACACTATTGGAATAAATTTATATTCTTTATTTTTTTATGGGACAAGCCCGCCACAGCCTCCCTTAACCGCTGCTACTCCTGTAAGCCAGGATCTACATAGATAGAACCATGACAGCACTGGAAAAATGAAGTCCGGTGCGTCTCAGGAATATGAATAATTTCCACTTCCCTGGGTGAATTACTGTAGGAGACAGAATAAATCAAGCCTAAAAGGCACAAAAAGATACTGCACAACTCAATCGCCAAATACCATGATAAAAAAAACTAAGTGGGTCCTATGCGTGAGCTGTTTCTACGGTTGCCAAGAAACCCAGTTGTCAAGCACTGCCCAATAACAACGTTTTATCTTAATCTGGTGACTATGCTAATCGCCATCCTTACCGTGAACCAATCCACTTCCCCGGTAGTCCAGGATGGGTCGCCCTCCATCACCATGCCCAGCTCTTCGGAGCCGTACAGCGGCCAGCGTCCAATCTTCTCACCAGGTCTGGCTCGACGTGCCAAGAAGGTTGTATAGTGGTTTAAACCGTAGAAGTCGTATGTTCCTGGCATTTATACCACAGGTAATGTTTAGTTAACATGTTTTTTATGGAATAGGAGGCAAACGACCAGACGGATCACCTGATGGTAAGCTATCAGCGCCGCCTATGGACACCCGCAACCCCAAAGGAGCCGCAGGTGAGTTGCCGGCCTTTTAAAAAGGAATACGCTCTTTTCTTGAAGGTTTGAAGCAGTTGTAGTCTGCCAACCATCTAATTACTATTATTATTTATGCAGGTTCGAATTCCAAATACGTGATCAGCTGTTTCTTTGTAACTTATTTCTTTTTGTTAAGTATGGACTGCCTCGTTAGTAGAATAGTTACAAGTGCAACTACTGAATAAGAGGTCTTGAGTTCGATTTACGAGTCGAGTATAGTCGTGAGTACTGCTGAAAGGGTTTCGAAAATTATACAATAAGTAATAGTTTAGGGAACAGAAAGTATAGTTCCCTAAGATCGGAAAAGGAGGATCCTCCGACCAGGCGAGGTGATCGTGCCTGGCGGGCTTTCTGCCCAACAGTTGTTCGTTGGGATTTTCTATCCGTGTTTATTCGCTTGTAAACTTTGCATGTGCGATGTAGGATTCTTGTGACGTCATCCGTTGACATGTGGCATGCGTCGCCACAATAGCAGGGACGATAGCAATTTTACAATGGGCGCACCCTCTGTTACATGGGACATTACATTTATAACATAACCGGACACTGAAAAGTCGATGTTACACTGTGAACATCTTTGAACCTCAGGGAAAAAAATCTGTATGTTTACGTTTTATCAACTTTCAGTACATACCTCTAACCAATTCAATTTCTTCAGGAGTAAAAGGTATCATCCTAGGATAAGGGTAGCCTTCTTTCATAGCCTTATCATTCAAGAACTTCTGGATTTTGAGCGGCCAACCCCCTTCTTTGGAGTAGATGGGGTGACCGTAGCGGCCTTCCTAAAAATAGAACATATCTTAAGAAAGTTAGTTTATAATCTGTCCATTTTTTTATGACATAAGCCGGTAAACGATCAGACGGATCACCTGATGGTAAGCAATCGGCGTCGCCCGTGGATACCTGGAACACCAGGGGCGTTACAAGTGCGTTACCGGCCTTTTGGGGAATAGAACTTTGATCAACATGCTTAACCATGACTGGTGTACAAATATTAATTAATTTTGCGATATCAGATAAGTAAATCATCGAATTATTTCTCCCACATGAGTGAGGCGAGAGGGAGTGTCAGACTCTTACTGACTAAAAATCACCCCGTTCCTTCTCCTGCGCTTCGAGCCGGAGCCCCGGTAACGCGTTAGGTTGTCCGCGAAACTTTCATTGTTTAACTGGGATTTTTTACAATTAAGCGAATACATAGAGCGAAGCTTTATTTAAATATCTATTGACAACGAATGTTTGAGGAACTAACAACATTCAAACTATGACAACACTCAATGAAACTACGTTAAATGTCATCAGCTGTGATCGAGTTTGTTTTGCGAATAGTTTTTTGTTAAAAAGGTTGCAATTCTATTTTAGAGGTAGTAGTTTAGATCAGTTTTTTTTTAAAGTAGTGTGGCGACACATGCCACATGTCAACGGATGACGTCACAAGAATCCTACATCGCACATGCAAAGTTTACAAGCGAATAAACACGGATAGAAAATCCCAACGAACAACTGTTGGGCAGAAAGCCCGCCAGGCACGATCACCTCGCCTGGTCGGAGGATCCTCCTTTTCCGATCTTAGGGAACTATACTCTCTGTTCCCTACAGTAGTAATTTGAACTAGCTAAAAGCAGTAGTTTAACTTACCCAATGTTCGAGTGCTAGTTCAGTCAGTTCCTTGTCCGCAGGGGTAGCGGGTTCGAACCAAATGAAAAGGTTCGATAATGAGACCTTTCCTGGGAAACAAAGTTTGATTTAATTAAAAATCGCGGGTTACTCACGTTAATATACTGAGAAAAGCTCTACTGATTTCGAACCACACAGGGGTTCTTACTCATGAGCAGCGTACGCGGTCACGGCGATGTCGCGCAGCCTATTATAGCTAGTAGGCTATGAAACTACTAGCTTTTCTCAGTATATTCGGGTCAGAGCCCATTCGTCCCCTAAAATTCGTCCCCCAGCATAAAAGTTGTGGATTCGGCCCCTATATAGGTGCCCATTGGTCTCCTGTAATATAATACATAATAAGTTAAAGATTCGGCACCTATTCAGCTGCCTATTGGTCCCCTGAGATAAAATAAGCTAAATTTTACACAAGAAACGGTTAACATAGTACACTTGTGAACAGTTTATTAACGGAATTAGTTTAATAAATCGTGAGTGACCCGCGATTTTTAGTTAATTTAGTATGTCTTACGATAGTTATTATAAAAAGTTTGATTTGATTTATTCTTTTTAAGGTTTCTTTAATAGAGAAGCATATAATAATATTGTCAATAGCATTTTTTCACGGGTTTCAAAAACCATTTTTGTTTTAATAGATGATTGAATTATTAATTTAATTGCTTTGCAAAAAAACCCTTTAATAAATATAACCTAAGTACTGAATCGATTCTGATGATATTTGTTACGGTCGTACGCCGTAGAATATAGGTACCTTGGCAAAGACTAATTTAAAAACCCAATTTCTACCGGAAGTCATTATTTTATGCGGACGAAGTCGCGGGTAACAGCTAGTAGTACCTACATAGACGTGGGAGAAAACCCACTGGCGTATTTTTCATTTTATCAAACGTTCTAGAAGCCAAAAAATATTCATCTTACTACAAAATGCTCTCCTTTTGAAGGTATAGCAACATAGCAACATAGCCTTTCATACGATATACGTTACCTATTAATAAAATAATTATATCAGACTAGCAAACCCGGCGAACTTCGTTTCGCCACCAGATGGCTTCGTTTTATGTAACATTTCGTTTGGTAATTAAAAGATGAAGTAACATTTTTTAATATTTTATATTTTATAAACCTCACGGAGCCCGAGACCTTTCCAACGAATGCAAAACCGTGGAAATCAGTCCGTGCGTTCTGGAGTTATAGCGTCAGGAAGGAAAACCCGACTTATTTATATATAGTAGATAATATTTATCCAAATTAATTATTATGTTTTCGGCTCACTTACTCATGTAACTGTTTGACGAAGAACTCGACTAAGTTCAAGGCTAGTGTAAACTAGTGTCGCGCAATGCTACTCATGAATATGAGCCTCTAGCATGGCTTGAAACTATTTAAACTCGTTGAGTACCGTCATTATAGACACATTAAGTAAAAACGCGGGTTACTCACGTGAATATACTGAGAAAAGCTCTACTAGTTTCGAACCACAGAGGGGTTCTTCCTCATGAGCAGCGTGCGCGGTCGCGGCGAAGTCGCGCAGCTGAGTAACCCGCGTTTTTACTTAATTTAGTATGTCTCACGATAGTTATTATAAAAACATTATAGACACAATTAAAGAACAATAGGTTGCGGTAACCGGTGACCGCTCGGTGTTTGACAGTTTAAATAAACAACATAATATCTCGCTTTTTATCTCGGAAGGGTTACGGGAGGTGCATATTACGGCACTTAATGCCACTGTAATTTAACACCCACTTTTCACTATTTATGTTATGAGTCCCTTGTAATAGTGTGCGTATTGTCATATACCGGGCACGATTCCAGACTCCGTGCTATTACTGAGATTATTTATAAAACCCAGTAATAATTTTCCCGACCCGGGAACCGATCCCGAGACCAACTCTCGGCCAACGAGGCAGTCAATGAACTGAGGAATAAATAAAATAATCTAAAAATAGTTCGACATAAGATTATAAGGTACCTAATTAGCTCATTTTAGCTCAATAACAAATTAATGGGTGTTTAATAATGTTTTGAACCTAATGCTAATGGATAATATGGACATCTAACTGCTTAATCCCCAAGCGATCACCGGTGACCTCTCGCCACTAACTCCATTATACACCTTATTTCCAATGTTTAAAGCCCACTTTTGTATGAACAAATTTTGGGGATTTTCGGTACGATATATCAGCGGATTATCATTAAACGCCTAATAAAGTAACCCTTTTTAATTGATATAAGGTTTTTATTAGTTATTGCAAAAAGATGAATTTAATTATCATCCATAACGGGTCATTAAACTTCGTCTACAGAATTTAGGAACAAATCCTTACTAATATTATAAATCGGAAAGTGAGTTTGTTTGTTCCGCTTTCACGCCGTAATTATTAAACCGATTGCTTTGAATTTTTGCAGACGTGACGTTAGAAGTCTGGATTAAATAATAGGATACTTTTTATCCCGGAAAAATTTGATATTCTCGAGGGAAAACGAAATTATTGGTATAGATGGCGCTGTGTGTATTGGTATATGTCACATAGGCTACTTTTTATTCTTTTGTGACGCGAGCGAAGCCGCGGGTAAAAGCTATCTAAATGGTCTTAGAAAGTACATATTATGAAAGCATCTTATGAAATTGTACACGCGCATCTGTTATACTTAGATACTGACTTAATTTAATTTAGCCATTAATTTTTAGTTTTATAAGCAATGTTATTGTAGGTACTTACTTGAATATATCAGCACATTTTTAACCTGAAACACAGGCTTGTACCTAGTTCAGGTTTTATATAAACTACGAATTTTCTTGGATAATAAGATTTATTTTGTAATCTGGCTTTTTACACCAAATAAACATTATTTATTATTATATTATTACTAGCTTCTGCCCGCGACTTCGTACGCGTACCATCCCATTTCTTCCCGTCCCCGTTCGTGATTTTCGGAAAAAAGTAAAAAAAAATTTTTGGTTAAAAAGTATCCTATGTCGGTCTCCTGGCTCTAAGCTACCTCCCTACCAATTTTCAGCCAAATCTATTCTGCCGTTCTTAAGTTATAAGTGGTGTAACTAACACGACTTTCTTTTATATATATATAAGATAAGATTTATATGACTTGGTAAAGGTCACATTGGTGTTTGCTGTTGGTAGGTTTTGAACCCGCACCCTCATGTATGAGAAGCGTCTTAAACCTCCGGGTGACCACGAGGACGACAATTTTTCACTCACCATGATACAAAGGCCTGAACTCCTCATCATATAGCCTCCAGGCCTTAGCGTGAGCCAGCAAAGTGTTTTTGTTACACAGAAACCTCCCCACATCCTGGTCCTGATGATAAGGTACATGACCTTTGCTGTACCCTAGTTCGCAGATGATAAAAGGCTCGTTCACTGTTACAAATATCTTCACACGATCAGCGAACAAAGTGTAAACGACCCTCGCGTAGTCTTCGAACCAATTCACTATTAACGGGTTTGCCCAGCCACCTGGAAAAAGAATGTTTTGATGTTTTTTTTTATGGCATAAGCCGGTAAACGAGCAGACGGATCACCTGATGGTAAGCAATAGGCGTCGTCCATGGACACCTGGAACACCAGAGGCGTTACAAGTGCGTCACCGGCTTTTTGGGGATTAGGAGTTTGAGGAACGTTGGGGATTCAGGGATTGGGGACATTGGGGAAGGGGAAGGTGATTGGGCCTCCGGTAACCTCACTCACACGACGAAACACAACGGAAGCGTTGCTTCACGTCGGTTTTCTGTGAGGTCGTGGTATCACTCCGGTCGAGCCGGCCCATTCGTGCCGAAGCATGGCTCTCCCACACTTAAACAACAATAAGATGTATTATAACCATTGTCAAAAAAGAAGGAGGCTCTCAATTGGACTCGGTTGTTTCTTCCTCGGTAGTTCTGCTATAACAAAGGACTCTCACGTGCTGGCTGGTAATACCTCTAGAGTACCCGTCTGGGATCATGGATGAAGCCTCAGCTTGGAGCAGGAGTTGGAACGGAATGGTTTTTAGTCAGGAACATTCCAACGCTCCCTCCCTCTTGACTCAGAGCAGAAGAAAACATCAGATGATTTAATATCCTTACAATAAAAGTAGCAGAGTACACTCACCCAGGTCTTGCAGAGACTGTGGCATATCAAAATGGTATAAAGTAATTAGAGGCTCAATCCCCTTCTCCACCAGACCATCGATCAGGTTGTTGTAGTAGTTCTTGCCATCCTGGCTGATGTGGTTCGGAAACCCAGTGGGAAGCAAACGAGGCCAGGATATGGAGAATCTGGAAGCGATAAAAAAGGTTTTGTTACTTTTGTTGAGCTGAGTAATGCTAGTGAGATCTTTTGTCCAGGTCTACTGGATTTAGAATCGTATACATTAGTCTCACTGGAACCATCAACCAGTGCCGGCGTTAGGGGGGGGGGGGGGGATGGTGATGGGGCGATGGCTCAGGGCGACAAATTCTAGGGGTCGCTAAGGTCTGAGTCTCTTGCCTCTCCTGGTGCAAATCCTCAGAACTGTGCTCTACGCTCTGTGCATATGCATATTTATTGGATGTTTTGAGGGTTTGTGGTCAGCTCTGGGTGACTTACTTAATATAATTTTACTTGGGATCAGCAAAAAACTAACACTTGATATTGATTCCCTCACGTGGGCGCCACAATATTTTCGCCCGGGGTGTCAGTGGTCTTTATGCCGCTGCACTGCCATCAACAGATGATAAAATTATATTTTGAAAGTCAAGATAAAAAGTAACTTGTTAACATTGTTAGTTTTTCCGCAAATGAGAAGACGGTATTAAAACAAATTTTGTCTAATACAGGTCTTATAGATTTTACCTGTACATATCGACTCCTAGTTCCTCTAACATCTCAATGTCCCTCCGCCACAGGTGGTAGGAGTCACATGCCACGTCTCCATTGGGATGTCCCTTCAATTCAGGATGCACGTGGAAGAGTCTGTCCCAGTCACCTTCACCCTTATCTGGACAATTATATTAAAACCTGTACATAAAATTAACCTTAGAAAAGGGTAGGTAAAGATTAGAATTAAAAAAATTGTGATGCCGCTGGTTTGAGCTTATTTTCACTGCGCACAATTCCTGACAAAAGTGATATGACTGGAAAATTTTGAAAATCTCAAAAATTATGACTCTTTGCCCGACCCGAGTCTGAATGAGCAAGCGTGGCGATTAATGCTCATACTTTCTCCGTGTTAGAAGAGGCTTTGCTCAGCAGTGGGCACTTATAGGCAACAGCCAAGAGCCTAACACCAACAGGTGATGATGATGATGCCTGACCAGAGATCCTATCAAAAACCGACGAGCGACTCGTTAAGCAACTGAATGTAGTATAAAAGACTTACCGCTAACATTCCAAGCACCTTCAACCTGGTATGCAGCAGTAGCTACTCCGAACTTGAACCAAGGTGGGAAGGTCGGTTCCTCCGTAGACCAGCAACGGCTAATCAGTACGCTGTGAAAGTTACAGACCATATTTAACTCGTCGAGTACCGTATGTATAGACACAATTAAAGAACAATAGGTTGCGGTCACCGGTGACCGCTTGGTGTTTGACAGTTTAATAAAGTACAAGTAACTAATTTAATTATTATGTTTTTCGTAATAATTGTTCGACGAGAAACTTGACTGGTGTGTCGAGGAATGCTACTCGTGAATATGAGCCTTTAGTATGGCTTGAAACTAGTCGAATTCCTCTTCAAACAGTTTCAATTAATTTTGTTATGTCTCACGAAAGTTATAATATAACCACTTTTATTTATTTTTTTAAGGGGGAAAATCATCGAATGACTTCTCCCGCCTGGGTGAGGCGGGAGGGAGTGTCAGACTCTTACTGACTAAAAACCACCCCGTTCCTACTCCTGCCCTTCGAGCCGCAGCCCCGGTAACCCGTTAAGTTCTCCGTGGCTCCGTGTAATATAAGCATAGAAAATGAAGTTTGTGATGAGATGGTGTCTTAAAATGGCTGAATATTAAAGAAGAAGATAAGTAATTAATGCAAGATAAGAATTTTAGACTGACACTCCATCTCGTTTCACCCATGGCCGGAGAAGTTATTGCCTCGAAGGATTCCCCCTTCAAAAAAGGCATTAAGATTAAGTTAACATAATATTTTTCGAACATAGGAGTGTATCAAGGATTTAACGATTGCAGCAGATGTGCAATGTAAAGGAGGTGTAAAATATAGAAATCATTATCACGCCTTCTATCCCCGAAGTCGTAGGCAGAGACACATTACGGCACTTAATGCTACTGTATAATGTAGTACCCACTTTTCACTTTTTATGTTATGAGTCCCGTGTAATAGGGGTGAGCCTATTGTCATATACCGGGCACAATACTACTGAGATTTTTTTTAAACCTAGTAATACTTTGCCCGGTCCAGGAATTGGAACCCGAGACCCCTTACCTGGCAGTCGCACTTACGACCAGTTGGCCAATGAGGCAGTAAAATATAGAAATCTAATAAAACTTTGCTTGATTAAACCTAGAACTTGGAAGAACTACAATTGCGTACAATGCCAATTATTATTATAGAACTATGTAACCAAACATGAATAATCATACTTGGGATTACTGAATGTGTAGTCACATCGTTTGCTTTACTTATCATAACACTGAATAATCTTCAAATTGCCGTTTGAAGCTAAATTATAATTAGCATGACTCAAAACACTAGTAAAGACTTAGGACTAAGAGTAAAGTGTAGGAATTACAATCGGTGTTTGATTAATTTAAGATGTAGATCCTCTACGTATTGAAACCTTACATTGATCACCAGTCCTATTGTTATCGTGGGTGTCGGGTATTAAAGAACTAGGTACATATTTACCAAAGACGAGGCAGCAGTGGTTTCTGATACACTACTGTTCAAGAACCACGTGTCGATGCACGCTCCCACGTAAAAATCTAGTAAAAATCACAAATGCTAATGTGATGATAATTATTCATGTATGCATTTATTTTTATAAATAGAGGACGGGAAGTAAATAATTTCAAACGGACTGCTGACAAACGACACAATAAACAAGCAAAATAACAAATATTTACATAAATTGCATATTAATTATTACTTAGACATTGTTATACTCTCTAGATTTAGATAAATATTCAAATAATAAACAATTTCCATATTAAGTTATTTCTGATACGCCGTGGGGCAGAGGCTGAGGCTTTTTTTGAGGGGCGAAAATCATCCAATGACTTCTCCCGCCTGGGTGAGGCGGGAGGGAGTGTCAGACTCTTACTGACTTTAAACCACCCCGTTCCTACCCCTGCACTTCGAGCCGGAGCCCCGGTTACCCGTTAGATATAAATACCTTCGGGTGCAATATGCATGTAATATACATATAAACTTTCCTTAAGAATCACTCTATCTATTAAAGAAAACCACATCAAAATCCGTTGCGTAGTTTCAAAGATCTAAGCATACATAGGAACAGACAGACGGCGGATAGCGACTTTGTTTTATACTATGTACTGATTGTGGCAATTAGCATAATTTGTAAACAGTCATTTTCATTTACAATAATTTTGAACCATATTTTTTGTCGAATCGGGGTTCTTTTATTAATTCTTTTTAATATTTGTACAGCGGACTTTACACAAGTGCCTGCAACTAATAATTATTTGTTTTTTTTATACGCACGTATGTAGGTACCTAATAACGTACTGTGAGAAAGTGACGACAAGATTTAAGAAAAAAAAACAATGGTTTTATTTATTTTATAGATGTAAATACAAAATGTATGTTTTAAAGTTAAAAAAAACTATTGTTCATAGATTAGATCTTGTATTTTCTTGTTCTTAATTAATTAAGTGACCTCATTGGTATAGTATCTTGGCTTCCAGTCCTCGAAGCGGCAGACAGAGGTCAGAGGTGTACATTTATATGTGTTAGTACTGACTCTTTGTTAGTTAAATATAAGGTTCAAATTCCAAAGGCGAACTTATTATCATGTATTGAGAACAATTATTCCAGGGTATGTGCGATTAATTAGTCGACTCTATTCCTTTACTATTAATTTTTTGACTGTGTAATAGACAGTGTAACGTGTATTCGTGGTGTCGATTTTATACAGTAAAATGGGTTGAGAAGGGGGATCAAATTTTTTTCGTTGAGGGGGGGGGGGATTTTCGAAGATAAAGAAAAATTTGCAACATTCCCGGAAAACTTTTATTAGCAACCCCCATTTACTTCCGTCGAAATTATCGGACTATGATGACTTTAGTGTCTTTAGTTTTTCTTATGTTCTGTCAATTCTTGACCGCATGCTTTACGTGGGAAATATAATGTATTATTTTGACTATTGTGATTTCTGAAGTGAATTATAAACTTATTCTTGCTTACGCACGTTGGTGACCCTCGTGACGCGGGGCGCCTGTGTATAATTGATGGTATAAATAATGAGGCAGATACGGGGCTAGCTACGTCCTGGTATTGAAATACATTTATCAATAAATACCCTTTTTTATTTTTTTTATAAGGGGGGAAAATCATCGAATGACTGCTCCCGCCTGGGTGAGGCGGGAGGGAGTGTCAGACTCTTACTGACTAAAAACCACCCCGTTCCTTCTCCTGCACGTCGAGCCGGAGCCTCGGTTACCCGTTAGATATAAATACCCTTAGGCTGAATCCTAAGTCTCAGCGGATCGTGCAAGTGAAAGCCGCCGCGCACGAAATTCCGAACGCCGTTTCATACTCCGACTTAAGACTTAGCCTCTCTCTTCGAAAAGGACACACCAGGCGTCGGGGATCACGGGACGATCTCCGGCCACCGTAAGCGCGCGCCTGCGGACGTCAAGCATGGGTGGCTCACTCCCCGACCACAACCAGACCCGAGCGTACGAAAGAGCAAAGTCTTAAACAGCCACCAGACCACCCCGGATGGGGCCCAATAGAGCTGATGCCGATACGGACTTAACGGACACATTTTGTATGGAGCTCATGTCAAAATTCTATCTCTAGTAAGCAAATCTACAGATAGATAGGTTATAGAAACTGGACGTCTATGGAGAACTTAACGAGTTACCGGGGCTCCGGCTCGAAGTGCAGGAGTAGGAACGGGGTGGTTTTTAGTCAGTAAGAGTCTGACGCTGTCTCTCTTTCACCTTACCTAAGGCGGAAGTCAGTGAATGATTGTCTCCTTATAAAAAAGCCTTATTCCAGCAATGAACTGTTGTTGATCCTTACTATAATATTATAAATCAGAAAGTGAGTTTGTTTGTTTCTTTGTTTGTTCCACCTTCACGCCGTAACTACACAACCGATTGCTTTGAATTTTTGCAGATGTAAAGTTTAAAGTCCGGATTAAATAATAGGATACTTTTTAACCCGGAACAAATTGATATTCCCGAGGAAAAACAAAAGTATTGGTATAGATGGCGCTGTGTGTATTGGTATATGTCACATAGGCTACTTTTTATTCTTTTGTGACGCGAGCGAAGCCGCGGGTAAAAGCTAGTGTGGTTATAAATGTAACATTTTGTAATGTTAGCGAATTCCGTGTTTTTTATGGTATAAGCCGGTAAACGGATTGACGGATCACCTGATGGTAAGCAATCAGCGCCGGTCATGGACACCTGGTACACCAGAGGCGTTGCAAGTGCGTTACCGGCCTTTTAGGATTAGGAATTTGAGGATTATTGGTATTCAGGGATTGGGGAAGGGAGAGAGGTAATTAGGCCTCCGTTGACCTCACTCACACGACGAAATACAACGCAAGCGTTGTTTTACGTAAGTTTTCTGTGAGGCCGTGGTATTACTCCAGTCGAGCCGGCCCATCCGTACCGAAGCATGGCTCTCCCACACTTCAGTGACTCATAAGGACACTGAAGAAAGTTTTGATGTAGGTCAAAGATAGAATTTAACACGTTAAACGCCATGGGGGTCACCGGTAACCGGCGTTAGCGGGGGATTTACCTTCAACAGTTTTTTCATCATCAACAGCCTATAAATGCCCACTGCTGAGCAAAGCCTCTTCTCACACGGAGAAGGTTAGAGCATTAATCACCACGCTGGCTCAATGCGGGTTGGCGATTTCAAACTTATAATTAGAAATTATAAGTCCAGGTTTCCTCACGATGTTTTTCCTTCACCGTTTGTCAGTGGTGTCTAAATAATCTTAGAAAGTACATATAACTCGGAAAAAGTCACATTGGTACTTGCCGATGGTAGGTTTCGAACCCGCACCCTCATGCATGAGAAGTGGGCGTCTTAAACCTCCGGGCCACCACGACCCTCCGGGCCACCACGACAACAGTTTTTTATTGGCAGTCAAAGTCTTAAGGAGTATCAAAAGAGTTATCTGCCTTGAAAATTAATAAGTAGCTTATAAATATGTAGTAAGTACGTATGATGTAAGTGTTTAAGTATTCAGGATAAAAACCTAAACAAATATATTCTGATTCAATGCAATTATGGTTGTTTTTCATTATTATTATTTTATCACAACACTTTAACTTCGGTGTTTAAAATTGATGCTCAGATTAAGATGTTTTGAAAAACTAGAAATATGGTAGATTATAATTGATATAGTTCTTTATTTTTGTAAGAAATGTTAATGCAAATTGTCATTTATCGCTTTTTATTTCTCAAAGGCAAAAACAGCGACAACCTGAATATCCTATAACATAACATAACATCACGCCTTTTATCCCCTTCGGGTAGGCAGAGGTGCACATTATGCCACTGTACAATGTAACACCCACTTTTCACTATTTATGTTGAGTCCCATGTAATAGGGGGTGAGCCTATTGCCATATACCTACTGGGCACGTTTCCGAACTCGGTGCTACAACTGAGAATTATTAAAAAACCCAGTAATACTTTATCCGACCTGGGAATCGAGCCCGAGACCCCTTGCCGACACACTTGCGACCACTCGGCCAACGAGCAGTTTTTGTAATGTTACGTTTATATATATGAGAAATCCATAGGTTTTAAATTGAAACCGGTCATAGTCTACAACTTAACACCTTGAACGCCATGGGGGACAACGTATGAGCCACGCTAGCGGAGGATTTGCCTTCAACGGTTTTCTGTCGGCAGTCAAAGTCTTAGGCTGGTTTTAATGTCGCGCTGACCGACAGCGCTGACAGCGGAGATTGTATGAACTTCTAGGTAGCGTTTTTGAATGACGCGTAGCTATCAGCGCGCACGGTCCATAGAAGTTCATATTTCTCGCCTGTCAGCGCCGACGGTCAGCGTGCGGTCAGCGCGACACTAAAACCAGCCTTAAGAATGAATCGCTAAATGTGTTGCTAAGCGCAAGTCTTGAGAACAGCTGAAGCGATTTTGCTAATTCTTTTTTTGCTCGGTTTGTTATAGACAGGAGAGAAGGCTTATGTTAGACATAAATTACAAGAAAGAGAGACTAGATTTTTTTTCAAAAAAAACTAAAGTTCACAGTGCCCGTTAGTACCACAATAAAATAATTTAGAAAACTCACCAAGACACGAGTAATCGTAAAGAATTCATTGTTTATACTAAAGCAGGTACACAGATAATGAAGGTTCAGTGTATAACGTAGATTAATCTTACGGCTATCTATTATCTCTTCTCCTTAAACATTGTATTGTTTGATTTTTTCCTAAGCAACCTTAATTCACATAACCTTTATTTACTAGTTCACACATAAGTAAGATTGTAATCATGCAGTTTAATCTGTCATGGGGTAAGCAAAGCCTTTTTTTAATGGGGAAATCATTCAATGACTTTTCCCGTCTATATGAGGCGAGAGGGAGTGTCAGACTCTTACTGACTAAAAACCACCCCGTTCCTTCTCCTGCACGTCGAGCCGGAGCCCCGGTAACCCGTTAGGTTCTCCGCGACTCCGAATCGGCATCAGCCCTATTGGGCCCCATCCGTGGTGGTGTGATGACTGTTAGAGGCGTGCGCGGAACACGACGCGCCGTACGGTCTGGTTCTGGTCGGTCGGCGAGCTACCCATGCTCGCCGTCCGCAGGCCCGTAAACATTTTTCCCTTATGATTTTTTTGTTTAATTCAGGAAAGGTTGTGAATACGGGTGTAAGTCATTTTTACAATACCCCTGGAAGAGTAGAGGTACAGATAAATGTATGTGCTGCCGTCGCCCGTCACCACGAGACAATATATTTGTTTTACACGTAACCGCCTACAGATCTCTTATCGTAGGACTAAATTTCCAGCGCATTAACTGAAATTATAGTATTTAATGTAGGTTCAAGTAATCTGTTCTAAAACGAATATTTATTCAAGATATACGGGGATAAGATGAGGTGAGACGCAAAGTATAAATTGGGAAATTTTAGAATAGTTTGTGCTAAGACTATGATTGTCTGGTTTAGTTATTTTTGTAGTAGTAACATTTACTCAGTAAATAAACCATTAAGTAAGGGGTGGTTTCACTAGCTACTAAACTAATGTAATGTGATTTTTTTTAAAGAGCATGTAATCGAGCCTCTTTATGGAGTTTCTTGTTCGTTCTTCTCCGTAAGAATCTGCATCTTGGAATGAGCAAAAAGTTTCACTTTAAAATTTTTGTTGACGTTCAAAAGTGCTTTCCTGGTCTAATTGAAGTACCTAAAGGATTTGGACTTTGAGCACTAAATAAACTGATGAATGTTATCTCAAATTCAAATTTTTATTGCATATCATGTGTACAATCGGTGTTACATAATGGTTATATAGTAAGATCATAATGGTTATATAGTAATATCATTTTCAACATGAAACCCGGTTAGGGCACGGCAAGATATAGAGCAAAATATAATCTAATTAAATTACTTACTTATCACATAAAAAAGTTAGTATTTTCATTCTAAATCATTAAAAATTTTCCTTAAATTTATTATGAAATGTATTTATATTTATGAAATAAACTACTAAACATAAACTTATGTAATAACTTTTAGTTTATGTAATAAACTACTAACACATAACTCATGGTTAGCACTGAGTCTTGACATCTCATAATACTCCATAAGCCAAGTGTGAACAGGTTTTACGTAAATCGACAACTACTTACTATCAACAATATACTAGGCGCTACGTTACTCTCTTCCTCGCCGATTGAGTGGTTGGAAGTGTGATTTTTTTATGAGATAAGCCGGTAAACGAGCAAAAGGAACACCTGATGGTAAGCCATTACCAGCCTTTTGGGGATTAGGAATTAGAGGATTGTTGGGGTTTTAGAGATTGGGAAGGGGGTGTAATTGGGTCTACGGTAACCTCACTTATACGTTTCATGTCGGTTTTCTTCTCGGCCGTGGTATTATTCCGGCCGAGACGGCCTATTCGTGCCGAAGCAAAATAGCATTAGGTTTCGAATTGTAACAAGAACACGGCAGTATGGCGCATCTCTGTCTATACTTTAGAGATTAACAGTAAAAAGAAAACATGTTTATTGTAAAATAAACTTTATTCATATACTTGTAAGAATGCATGATCATCAGATTATATTAATTACAACTATGATATATACTGCCACTATGATATACGATATATATGATATATGACTGCCTCGTTGGCCGAGTGGTCGCAAGTGCGACTGCCGGGCAAGGGGTCTCGGGTTCGATTCCCGGGTCGGGCAAAGTATTACTGGGTTTTAAAAAAAATCTCAGTAGTAGCACGGAGTCTGGAATTGTGCCCGGTATATGGCAATAGGCTCACCCCCTATTACATGGGACTCATAACATAAATAGTGAAAAGTGGGTGTTACTTTATACAGTGGTATAATGTGCACCTCTGCCTACCCCTTCGGGGATAAAAGGCGTGATGTTATGTTATGTTATGTTATGATATATACTATAATGTATATTACTACTACAACTATGATCAGAGATCTGGGAAACGGCTCCATTGATTTTCTTGAAATGTTGTATTCAGGTGGGTTTTAACAGCGACAAATCGATCTAGCTACGTATTATTTTCAGAAAATGACGTATTTTCCGTGTTTTTTTTGTAATAAAAATCCTTATTAAAATACGAAACTAAATTTCGTTATTACACAATAGTTTAGTGGGCAAAGCGGACGTCTGCTTCGCCGGACATTCGAGTTCAAATGTGTCCTGAACCTCGGTTCGAATATTGTGTCTTTTATTTCTACTGTTTACTATGTCAGAATTTTAATTAGATTCCAGATTTGACAATAGCTACTGTCATATTGTGAAATAATGATACCACATATAATAGTGTAGTGATGCACACAAAAATCGATAAATAATCAGTGTGTGTGTTTTATAATAAATGTTACAGAAAGTGACAGGATAGCGATAGCGATGACGGCGACAATTTATAAAATAACTTATTACCATAATACATCTATCTGTTTTATTTGTCATGTTTCTTCATGATTACATTTTTTTATTTATTTGACACACAATTATAAAAGAAACGTCTCAGATCGTTAATTAATCGTCAAAACTAAATTATAGGTTCAGAAATATTTAATTTCCTGATATACTTAGTTCACGAGAGTAAAATTATAATTATTATAAACGAGAAGAATCAATCCAGAAATATTGCATTTCCATATCGAATAATTTCGCAACGTCACTATTTAGTACTTGTCATAACGTTGCCACACTGAAATTGTCAAATCTGGAATCGAATTAAAATTCCGAGTATATTTTATCCTCTTTGTTCTATTTTTTTTACATTTTAAGTTCTATTTCTTTCTACATTTTTTCTAAAATAATGTGTACTAAAACACCGAACAAATCTTGGTCATCCAGGTACTATAATACAATATAATCGTACACATCAACACACACTGGTCAGATACAATATCAGATTTAAAGCAGGTTCTAAGAACTTCATAATTAAAATCGTTATAATTATCGACCAATAGTTGCATATCTCGGAAATTTTAAGGACCAATCCCTGAATCTGCATAGATACAAAGTTTTTTTATTTATTGACACTCCCTCTAAACATCTCGCTTTCTCTTTCTATCTTTCTTACTTTTGCTAATAACTCAATAGTCTTCAGGATCTGTGCAATGAGTTTTAATGACCTTGGAGTAATATCTAGAAGACAGGCGTGGCGTTCTCGTGCGATTTGTATCCGTAAAGTCAACAGCATAAAGTCCAAATTTGGCACTGAAAGAAATAAAAAAAAATATATACAGCAACTATCGGCAGACATATCTAATTAATTAAAATGTACACAGGTTTAATCACGTGTTGTTGCACTGCCGGGCAAGGGGTCTCGGGTTCGATTCCCGGGTCGGGCAAAGTATTACTGGGGTTTTTTAAAATTCTCAGTAGTAGCACGGAGTCTGGAATTGTGCCCGGTATATGGCAATAGGCTCACCCCCTATTACATGGGACTGAAAACATAAATAGTGAAAAGTGGGTGTTACATTGTACAGTGGCATAATGTGCACCTCTGCCTACCCCTTCGGGGATAAAAGGCGTGATGTTATGTTATGTTACGTGTTGTTGCACCGCACCCGCTGCTAGATATGAGCCCCGTTGCGACTTGAAATCAGTAGAGCATTTCTCAAAGTAAGCCGTATATTTTAATTAAAAAACAAAATACCTCAGGTTAATATTATTTGCCGTATACTTCCTATGGGTACTCACTCATATCCTTTATCGAAGTTATCCATTAGAGACCAGTGGAAATAAGCTGTGACGTTGACGCCATCTTGGATTGCGAGTGCCACCTGTCGAAGGCAGAACATTGAAAATGATGACATTCATAATAAGACAACGTTTAATTCGTGTGTAGTCAGTAATTGTTGTTGATCGGTATTCCGGTTATCTTAATCGAATCTGGGCTCATTGACCCATTTATTCCATAGGACCCAACCTGATTCATTTAGAAAATAACTAGCGAAAGAACCGTAAGCGAACACAAGCGTAGCCGAACCGAAGAAGAATTCATTACTAAACATAGACCTCCCCTTATTTAGTATTAAATAGACCGGTTGGAAATAATCTAGTTTTGGCGGCTGCCTTTATAAAACTTACTAGCTTTTGCTGGCGGCTTTGCCCATGTTTCCGGGGGATTTTTTTTTAAGGGTGGAAAATCATCGAATGACTGCTCCCGCCTGGGTGAGGCGGAAGGGAGTGTCAGCCTCTTACTGACTAAAAACCACCCCGTTCCTTCTCCCGCACGTCGAGCCGGAGCCCCGGTTACCCGTTAGGTTGTCCGCGACTCCGAATCGGCATCGGCCCTATTGGGCCCCATCTGTAGTGGTCTGATGGCTCTTTGAGGCGCGCGCGGAACGCGACGCGCCGTACGCTCGGGTCTGTTTCTGGTCGGACGGGGAGCCACCCATGCTCGCCGTCCGCAGGCCCGCGCTTACGGTGGCCGGAGATCGTCCCGCGATCCCCGACGCCCGGTGTGTCCTTCGCGATGGCTGGGTTGCGAGGAGGCAGTGTTTCGCTGCCTCATGCGTCCCGCCTCCTCCTTAGCTAGCATAACTGCTTCGCAAAAGAAGGAGACGGCATCCCAGTCCCCCTCGCTATGTTTCCGGGGGATAAAAGTATCCTATATGTTATTCAGGACCAATCTATCTCTGTTCCAAATTCCATTCCGATCCCTTTAACCGTTATGACGTGATTGAGTAACAAACTCACACACTTTATTATATTTGATGATCCGACGTTTCGATGATCCTGATGATTCGGTAAGCGATGATGCGGTCTACAATGGAGCATGTCATCCCATAAGCAACCTGTTCACTCGGGCCTTGAAGACGACACTCTTGAGGAAATATACCCTAACATAACATACCATAACTTTACGTGTTTTATTCCCGAAGGAGTAGGCAGAGGGGCACATTACGGCACTTTATACCACTGTACAATGTAACACCCACTTTTCATTATTTATATTATGAGTCTCATGTAATAGGGAGTTGTGATATTGCCATATACTGGGCACATTGCCAGACTCCGTGCTACTACTGAGTAATACAGACTCTGGTAAAGAAGAAAGAAAGAAAAACCATTTCAATGCCACTCTTTAGCAGTACCTACGCATAAGGAAGCTTGATGCGAAGCATTTCGTAAGTGTGGGTGGGACAGACCAGATATATATTATTAAGACTACCTACTTTATTATACCAACTACCTCCACTAACTTACTTGTTCCAAATATTTCCTAGTATAGTTCACGGTTCTAACATCATTCAGAGACGCATTGCTACTGAAAAATCCGTTTTCAGTGATCATGATCTCGGAAAGGTTGTATGTGTTCTTCAAATAGTTCAGCTGCTGACGTAGACCTTCAGGATGCACCTGAAACGTATCATAGTTTCTGTTAAAATAAAATAATAAATTAGATTATTAATTATTATTAGCGTCTATTTTATTATTTTAGATTAACTGTGTTGCCGTTGTTGATGTTCAAAAGTGCCTTTCTGGTCTAATTGAAATAAATGATTTTGATTTAGATTTTGCCCGTTTCTTCGTTCGCGTAGAATATGAATTTTAATTTTAGTTTCAATTTTCCAAATTAAAAGTAGCCCATGTTAGTCCTTAGTACATCAGCTACCTGCCAATAAAAGTCTTGTAAAATTGATCCAGTCATTCCAGAGATTAACCAGTACAAACAGACAGACAGACCGAAATGTAAAAAAAATTTATTTTGATATGTAAAAAGCGGTATTTTAACACTACAAGCAGACACTCCAATTTTATTTATCTGTATAGACTAGTGTGATGCTGTATCTACAGGATCCCCGTCTTAACCTATGAGCAGTACCTATACTCTTCCATATTCTTGGATAATATCTGAAACTCTTTAAAATGAGTAAAGTCTGACATCGTCTACTCTTATCAAAGCAAAGCCAAATATAAAATGCAGGAGTACCGTTAACCATTTGATGTCACCCTTCTCCCACGAGGGATCTGCCTCCAACACTATCCCCAACTCTTCGATGCCGTCGACTAGTGTCTTGCCAATAGCCTCACCTGGCTTCGCTTTCCTGACCAGAAGGCTGGAGTAGTGATTTAAGGCATAAAAGTCGAAGGTACCTGAAAAGATTTGAAGATAGATGATCAGGGTGCAGTTACTCAAAATATGGTTCCTCATCGGTTATTAACTATCCCAATGTGGGTATGTGGTGTTACCGTCGTATGCTCCGAGTCAGCTGGACACAAAGGGTCAGCAACGAGTCCGTGCTACAGCGCGTCCAAATGACCCGGAAAATTATGCTGACCATCAAAAAGCGAAAAATCGAATATCTCGGTCACGTGCTTAGACACGATAGATATTCACTGCTTCAACTGATCATGATGGGCAAAGTGGAGGGGAAGAGACGTGCTGGGCGCTGAAGAAAATCGTGGCTGCGAAACATCCGGGAGTGGACCGGCATTACATCTGTCGAACAATTGTTCCGCATGGCTACCGACAAGGAGAAATACAAGAAGCTGACGGCCGACCTTCAACATTGAAGAGGCACTATAAGAAGAAGAAGAATGTGGGTATAGACCTCTTCTCACACAGAAAAGGAATAAGCATTAATTACCAAGCTTGCTTAAGTCAGATGGACGATTTCCAACTGACGCTATTATCAAGAGAAATTCTAAATGTCAGCCATTCAATCATTACCTTTGACCAGTTCTTTCTCTTCCTCAGTAAAAGGTGGAAGTCTAGGTTGTACGTATCCCTCGTTTCTACTGTTGTTGGCTAAAATTTCTTCCAATTCCTTCGGCCAGCCTCCTTCTTTGGAGTAGACGGGGTGACCATATCTTCCTTCCTAAGTAAAAGGGAAAAAACTTTTGTCTTAGTTGAAATATTTAGCAGCCTCTTTTTTCTTTACCCTCCCCTTTCCCAATCACCCCAATCGCTGAATCCCCAATGATCCTCAAATTCCTAATCCCCAAAAGGCCGGTAATGCACTTGTAATGCCTCTGGTGTTTCAGGTGTCCATGGGCGACGCCGATTGCTTACCATCAGGTGATCCGTCTGCTCGTTTACCGGCCTATGCCATAAAAAGCCTAAGACAGTAAAAATAAAAAAATATAGTACGTACAATATATTGGCGAGCGAGGTTGGTAACTTCGGTGTCATTTTCTGTCGCTGGTGCTAACCAGAGGAACAAGAAGACGATGCTCACTTTACCTGAAAGAAAATAAAAGTTTTTGATTCAACTTATTTTATTTTTCTGACAAAGAAGGCACGATATGACTGTAGCCGTGTAGGTTGGTTGTGGGACGACGAGCTCCATCGTAGACCGCATCATCGCTTACCACCAGGCGAGATAGTGGTCAAACATCGACCCACCAAATATCAAAAAGTGGCCGTAAGTTGTTTCTTAGATTGCAAACTGACGATAGATTTCATGACCTAATTCCCCCGCCCCCTCCTTCCTCAATCCCTACATCCCCAACAATCCTCAAATTCCTAATCCCAAAAGGCCGGTAGCGCACTTGTAATGCTTCTGGTGTCCCAGGTGTTCATATGCGATGCCGATTGCTTACCATCAGGTGATCCGTCTGCTCATTTACCGTTTAAAATGACGAAAAACTATTTTAAATTGACTGAGAGAATGGGAGTCAGTCCAAAATAAACTCACCATGATACAAATGCCTGAAGTCTTTATCATAGATCCTGTAAGCCTTCGCATGTGCCAACAGCACATTCTTGCTGCAAATGTACCGGCCGAACTTCGGATCGTTTATATATGGGACCGTCCCGTTATTGTACCCTGAGTCACAGAGGATTTGTGGCTCGTTCACCGTCAGCCATATCTTTACTCGATCGCGTATAGGGAGAATGCGACTCTGGCATATTCCGCAAACCAGTCGGAGATGAGGGGTTGGTCCAGCCTCCTGAAAGGAGACCTCAGATAAGTCAGTGGACGCAGGTGTCGAGTTACCTTTCGACGTGGAGGACTATTGAGCAGGCCTTTGTCCAGTGGACATCTTCTAGCTGTTGATGATGACGAAGGTAAGTTAAATCTTCTGAGCCTTAATATAGAGTAGAATTCGGTATATCATATGGAATAAGTGTCTCGCCTATTGTTAGACTAGCTACAAATTATGACAACGCTAGGTTCATTGCTTTGTGCCAAAAATATCAGAATTTTCGGTTTCAAAGCTTCTCAGTATGGAATCTGCATTGGTACTTGGTGTTCAATAGTAAGCCTAGTTTATACAGCAAAAAATGGACACCAACAATACTAGAGCCAGAAAAGTAAAAAATGAGTTGAGAGTAAAAAAGGGTTTAAGCATGTAAGTATTTGTTACAGAAAGATTAGCAGAATGGTATATCATCCTGTTAAAATGTGTCAATTTTTGTCATTGGATTTTCGAATTTAAGTATATTTAAACGATAGAGTTCATTTGACATCTAATTTGACAGAAAAGAGAAGGTTGACCTGCAGCCCACTGTACCAAGATACTGAAGTCGTTGTGGCAGATCGAAGTGGTTCAGGGTTACAACCGGTTCGATCCCCTTCTCCAGCAGACCATCGATCAGGTTGTTGTAGTAGTTCTTGCCATCCTCGCTGATGTAGTTAGGAAGACCGGTTGGCAGTAGACGAGACCAGGCTATGGAGAATCTGGAAATGAAATAAGTAGATGGATAGGTTCAAACCAGTAAACGCAGTAGGCAGAGCAAATCATACAATTTTGTTATAAGTCTTCTAAGATGTTTTTTTATAAAGGATAACTCGCGTAAATGAGCAGACGGGTCACCTGATGGTAAGCAATCGACGTCGCCGCTGGACACCCCGGAAAACTAGAGGTGTTACAAGTGCATTACCGGCCTATTAGGGAATAGGAACTTGAGTATAGTTGGGAAATCAGGGATTCAGGGATTGGGGAGATTGAAGAGGGGGGGGGGGATAATTGAGCTTCTGGGATAATGTTTGACAAAAACAGTCTTTATCCTTGAAGTATTGTTTAATATTCGTTACTTCTTCCTCAGTCGTCTACCAGAATTTCTTTTATCTCAGTTAACCTTAAAATATTGATATTACATCTCATAAAGACGACAGTACCATTTTTATCTCCATTTCCTTGGTTTGGTTGCAGAAACCAGAACTGTATGAACAGTTTTATTTAAACAAAAATTCGAAGTCAGAACCAAAAAGGATTTAATATTAACTTAATCAACTTTTATATCCTCACCTGTACATGTCCAGCCCCACCTCCTCACACATCTGTACGTCCCTCCGCCACAGATGGTAGGAGTCACACGCCACGTCGCCATTACCATCGATGGTGTCAGGGAACAGATGCAGGTATCTGTCCCAATTGCTTTCTCCTCGATCTGAAATAGCAAGAAGTTCATAAAATACTCGTGCTGATTCGATCATATTGGGTTGAAGATTGAATATTTTCATGGAAATCTAGACGTTAATTTGTAGGCACTATTCGCATCACACGTCTGACGTGGCACCCGACGAGAAATATCTCTTCGAGAATTACATGGCGTGATGTTTTGATAATGTATGCGCTTTCGAAGTTTGCTTTTTGCATTTTTTTATCTTTGTGAAACTATTGTATTACCAAGACAGAACCATTTTACTTAGAGACGAAAACGAAATAGATTTTACGGTGTATAATCGAGTTGCAAGTGTGCGATTAATTGGTCTTCTATCCGGTTCAGCACATCTGTTGTACCACATTCTCAACTGGGCAATTCAGGGTTTTTTTTTAATCTTTATTTACTTATTTAAAAACTAGCTTTTACCCGGGGCTTCGCTCGCGTCACAAAAGGATAAAAAGTAGCCTATGTGATATAAACTTATACACACAGCGCCATCTATACCAATACTTTTGTTTTCCCTCGGGAATATTTATTTTTTCCGGGATAAAAAGTACCCTATTATTTAATCCGGACTTCTAACTTAACGTCTGCAAAAATTGAAAGCAATCGGTTTAGTAGTTACGGCGTAAAAGCGGAACAAACAAACAAACTCAGTTTCAGATTTATAATATTACCTCTATATAGTAAGAATGTATTGGGGTTTTTATCCATTAAGGATATGCAAACCCCATCGTACCTTATTCTAAAGTGATGCAGGTTTTTTAAAATATTCTCAGTAAGTTGTAGTTTACAGCGAGTCTAAGATTATTTGGGATTTTTACGATAAGTGAGATAAAGTAGATATTATTATTATTTTTTTTCACACTTTATAGGTCGACGTTTGACCACCATCTCGCCTGATGGTAAGCGATGATGTGGCCGACGATGGAGCACGCCTACCTATGAGCAACCTGTTCACTCGGGACTTGAAGACACCCAAGTCATATTTGACGGGAAACACAGCCTCTGGTAAGGAATTCCATTCCTTAGCGGTTCGCAAGAGGAAGCTTAACGCGAAACGCTTCGTTCGAATGGGTGGAATGTCCACCATATAAGGGTGGCGTATTACATTTCCTATATTGTGTTTCTTTAGGGTAATAAAAAACTTTAAATTATGAAATGTGTGTTACCACTGGCGTTCCAGCCGCCTTCTATCTGTAGTGCTGAGGTGCCGGCTCCGAACTTGAACCCTGGAGGTAGCTGTGCTCCATATACGCTACCGACTAGAACACTGTCGAGAAATGAGAATAATCTATTATATATAAAAGAAAGTCGTGTTAGTTACACCACTTATAACTCAAGAATGGCAGAATAGATTTGGCTGAAAATTGGTAGGGAGGTAGCTTAGAGCCAGGAGACCGACATAGGATACTTCTAACCAACATTTTTTTTTTACTTTTTACCGAAAATCACGAACGGGGACGGGAAAAAATGGGATTACGCGTACGAAGTCGCGGACAGAAGCTAGTTTAATTGATAAAGATGCATTAAGAATAAGAATAAGAACGTTTATTTGCACGAATAATAAGTAATAAGTATAGTAATAAGTATATTAGGTGGGAAGTCTTGTTTTTTTAAGGAGAGAAAATCATCGAATAGTTTTATATAATGGGTTTATATAATTATTCTATTCTTTTTATAAAACAAATAAAGGAATTTTTTTTTACTTCTCCCGCCTGGGTGTCGGTCTTGGTCGGAAGTAAGAAATCTATTGACTCACATTCTATTTTACATATGAATACAACACTTTTTTTTGTCGGAGAGCCATGCTTCGGCACGAATGGGCCGGCTCGACCGGAGCGATACAACGGCAGAGCAGAAAACTGACGTGACAACGCTTGCGTTGTGTTTCGTCATATGAGTGAGGTTACGGGAGGCCCAATCACCCCAATCCCCGAATCACCAATAATCCTCAAATTCCTAATCCCCAAAGGCCGGTAACGCACTCGTACGTAATACCACTGGTGTTTCGGGTGTCCATGGGCGGCGCCGATTGCTTACCATCAGGTGCTCTACCGACTGCTCGATTACCGTCTTATTTCATAAAAAAGATCTGCTATTAAGTGCATTTCTGCCTACCACTTTAGGTATAAAAGGCGTGATAGTACAGAAATCGTGACTATGTAAGATTGGTACCATTATTGAAGGCCAAACGTACTAACCGAATTTACTACACCTAACAATCGAACCGAAGACCTTGAACTTGGCAGAAACATACCTAATATTAAAAGTCAGACATCGAGTAATTTACTTTTAAATATCACATGTTTTGCTAAATTGTAAAATGTTTTAATTATTTCCCGAATGAATGAGTTCTACATATTATCGATTGTAACATCCACTACGGTATTATTTAAACTGTCAAACACCAAGCGATCACCGGTGACCGCAACCTATTGTTCTTTAATTGTGTCTATAAATACGGTACTCGACGAGTTAAAGTTAGATCTATTAGGATTCGATCAAGAAATAAAAAAAAAAACTATATAACAAAATGTTAGATAAATAAATAATCAATATTACATTGTTGAGACTCACAAGAATAACTATTTAAAAGTGGGTGTCGCATTGTATAATTAAAAATATTTTAAGTGTGGAAGCACGAATTGGTGATCGGAGTGATACCACGGCCTCACAGAAAACCGACGTGAAATAACGCTTGCGTTGTGTTTCGTCGCATGAGTGAGGTTACCGGAACCATAGTATAAAGTAAAGTTATACTATGCCGGAACGTACCTACAAAGATTTTTTATGGGATAAGCCGGTAAACGAGCAAACGGTAATCCTTTTGATCAGGTAAACCTGATGGTAAGGAATCAGCGTCGCCCATGGACACTCGGAACAGAGGCGTTATAAGTGCGTTACCGGCCTTTTGGGGATTAGGAATTTGAGGTAGTTTTTCGAAATATCGTGAGTTTGTCATAAAAATACCAAAAAATAAGTAGGTAATATACAAATTAAACGAACATACCTGAACAGTATTAAAACAATATTGAACATGATTTCAGTGTAGAAACACCGCACCGACTGTCATACGGAATCGGACATATGGCAATGTATGCAAAATACCGAATTCTTACTCATTGTGTCGTTAAATATAAAGACGTATTGACACAGTTTGGTCAGAAGGTTAAAAGCGGTAACATAAACATGAAGAAGATTTTTTAAACGTTGTCCCACACTATGAATGAAATTAAATGAAATATTTTTTTTTAAGGGGGGAAAAATATCGAATGACTGCTCCCGCCTGGGTGAGGCGGGAGGGAGTGTCAGACTCTTACTGACTAAAAACCACCCCGTTCCTTCTCCTGCAAGTCGAGCCGGAGCCTCGGTTACCCGTTAGGTTCTCCGCGACTCCGTATCAGCAAAAATGAAATGAAATACGTTTATTCGCGGCATAAGACATGCACGCTAGGAAAAGAACTTATACATTATGATGGGATACTAAACACTAGGATTTTCTCCTGTGTCGTGGGTGCATTTACAAACATATAATATCACATACACATGACACCATGAAACAATAATTTGTAGATCACACAAAGAGTTGATCCGTGCCGGAATCTAACCAGCTACACGTTGCGCGGCAGCTCGTTGTTATTCATACGGCAAATGTTGGTTACACGGAATGGGTTTCGAAACGACTGGAGCGTGAAAATACTCTATCTTTTAGGTAGCTTACTTTTAAATAATAGGAATTCAATAGCTCAATCGCACTAATCTATACTTATAATAAATCTGTAGAGAGGTCAATTCTGTACATAAAATATATTTAAAAAATAACTATCAAGGGGTGGTTAGGGATCGCCACTGATGCCAAAAATGCAATCAGTAAAATTTTTGTCTGTCTGTCTGTCTGTCTGTCTGTATGTTCGTTATGGAAACAAAAACTACTCGAAGGATTTTAACGAAATTTGGCACAATTATTCTTCATACTCTTGGGCAGGTTATAGTATACTTTTCATTACGCTACGATCAATAGGAGCAGAGCAGTGAAGGGAAATATTGGGAAAACGGGAGAAGTTATTCCATTTTTTAAGCTTCCGTCGCGTGTGCAGGCTTATAGGTTAAAGCTGCATACAAATCATGTACGACGGAAATATTCTCCTTAAAATAATATAAAAAATATTTCTCGACAGCATATGTCTATCTTTTATGGTTGACTCACAATAACACGTGAAACTCCCGATAGCTTAGCAATTCGGTGATTTCTGATTGTATTTGTCTACTCTAACGTTTACAATACTCATTCATAGACTTTACGCTGTAACCGAAACGCCAATGGTTGAGATTCGCTATTATAAATGAAAATATGTGAGTTTATGTGTATGTTTGTTACTCAGTCATATTAAAACGACTGAAGGGACCGGAATGAAATTCGGAACAGAGGTAGATTATGGTCTGAAGTGATACATAGGCATTTTACCCCTGGGATCGCGGGCGAAGCCGCTGGCAGAAGCTAGTATCTATATATATATAATTCAAGGGTGATTGACTGACTGACTGACTGACATAGTGATCTATCAACGCACAGCCCAAACCGCTGGACAGATTGGGCTAAAATTTGGCATACAGATAGATGTTATGACGTAGGCATCCGTTAAGAAAGGATTTTGATAATTTCCACCCCCAAGGGGGTAAAAAAGGGGATGAAAGTTTGTATGAAACTTTGTCAGTTTTGAACCGATCGGGTTGAAATTTGGCATGCAGATAGATGTTATGACGTAAGCATCCACTGTGAAAGGATTTTGATAATTTCCACCCCCAAGGGGGTAAAATAGGGGATGAAACTTTGTATGAAACTTTGTCAGTTTTTAACCGATCGGGTTGAAATTTGGCATGCAGATAGATGTTATGACGTAAGCATCCACTGTGAAAGGATTTTGATAATTTCCACCCCCAATGGGGTAAAATAGGGGATGAAAGTTTGTATGAGGCTTTGTCAGTTTTAAACCGATCGGGTTGAAATTTGGCATACAGATAGATGTTATAACGTAAGCATCCGCTTTGAAAGGATTTTGATAATTTCCACCCCCAAGGGGGTAAAATAGGGAATGAAAGTTTGTATGAGACTTTGTCAGTTTTAAACTGTCAAGCACCAAGCGGTCACCGGTGACCGCGACCTATTGTTCTTTAATTGTGTCTATAAAACCGGTACTCGACGAGTTAAATCGATCGGATTGAAATTTGACATGCAGATAGATGTTATCACATAGGCATCCGCTAAGAAAGAATTTTGATCATTTCCAACCCTAAGGGGGTAAAATAGGGGGTGAAAGTTTATATGAAGCTTTGTCAGTTTTACACCGATGCAGATGAAATTCGGCATGCAGGTAGATGTTATGACGTAGGCATCCCCAAGTAAGGATTTTGATTATTTCCACCTCCAATGGGGTAATGTAGGGGATGAACGTTTGTATGAAGCTTTATCATTCTTACACCGATCGGGTTGAAATTCGGCGTGCAGATGGATTTTTTTTTTAAGGGGGGAAAATCATCGAATGACTGCTCCCGCCTGGGTGAGGCGGAAGGGAGTGTCAGACTCTTACTGACTAAAAACCACCCCGTTCCTTCTCCTGCACGTCGAGCCGGAGCCCCGGTTACCCGTTAGGTTCTCCGCGACTCCGAATCGGCATCGGCCCTATTGGGCCCCATCTGTGGTGGTCTGATGGCTCATTGAGGCGCGCGCGGAACGCGACGCGCCGTACGCTCGGGTCTGTTTCTGGTCGGACGGGGAGCCGCCCATGCTCGCCGTCCGCAGGCCCGCGCTTACGGTGGCCGGAGATCGTCCCGCGATCCCCGACGCTCGGTGTGTCCTTCGCGATGGCTGGGTGGCGTGCAGATGGATATTATGACGTAAACGTCCCTTTAGAAAGGTTTTTGAACATTCTCACCCCAAAGTGGGTAAAATAGGGGGTGAAAGTTTGTATGATACTTTGCCAGTTTTAAATTGATCGGGCTGAAACTTTGCATGCATAAAGTTACTATGACATAGGTATCTCTTTAGAAAGGATTTTGATATTATATTATATAATTCCACCCCTAAGGGGATAAAATAGGGAATGAGAGTTTGTATAAATCGTCTTAGCCATTGAATTTAGATTCATTGAATCTTTTTGAATTACATTCGGTGAACGATGATTTGGGACCTAGGTAACGTTTGATAGTTTCTATCACAGATGTCCCACGGGAACGAGAACTATGCGTCAATGCCCCAGGACTCTCTAACTCTTAACCACTGAACTTATTTTAGAGAGATTCGGTACAACAATAGTCGATAGAATAGTTTTTATTACTTAAACCTTACGTGATCGGGCACTGTACTGGTAAGATCCCTGCGGGATTATTTATTTATTGAAACTACGATAAATCATTTCAAAATAGGTAAATCTTACTTGGGCACTGAATTGATTCTGATTAATTCTGTCAGAAGTCATTAATCTACGCGGACGAAGTCGCGGGCAACAGCTAGTCTATTATAAATGTGAAAGTTAATTTGTTTGTTTGTTTGTTCCACTATCACGCCGTAACTACAGAACCGATTGCTTTGAATTTTTGCAGACGTGAAGTTACAAGTCTGGATTAAATAATAGGGTACTTTTCCCGGAAAAATTTGATATTCTCGAGGGAAAACGAAATTATTGGTATAGATGGCGCTGTGTGTATTGGTATATGTCACATAGGCTACTTTTTATCCTTTTGTGACGCGAGCGAAGCCGCGGGTAAAAGCTAGTATCTATTATAAATGTGAAAGTTAATTTGTTTGTATGTTTGTCCGTCAATCATGCTAAAACTACGGAACGGAATTTGATGAAATTTGGTATACAGGTATGGGCTGACTTAGGTGATAGGCGATATTTTTATCCTGATTAAGTGCTCCCATGGGATAAAACAGGATTTATATTCTACTAGCTTCTAGCCCGCGACGTCATACGCACAATCCCGTTTTATCCCGTTCCCGTAAGATCTACTTTTGAATAGGAATGATGACAGGATAAGAAGATTAAAATATCTAATTAGTCCATCAGTTCATCATCAACAGCCTATAAATGCCCACTGCTGAGCAAAGCCTCTTCTCACACGGAGAAGGTTAGAGCAATAATCACCACGCTTGCTCAATGCGGGTTGGCGATTTCAAACTTATAATTAGAAATTATAAGTCCAGGTTTCCTCACGATGTTTTTCCTTCACCGTTTGTCAGTGGTGTCTAAATAATCTTAGAAAGTACATATAACTCGGAAAAAGTCACATTGGTACTTGCCGATGGTAGGTTTCGAACCCGCACCCTCATGCATGAGAAGTGGGCGTCTTAAACCTCCGGGCCACCACGACGTTTTTGTAACGTCCATCAGTTATGTAATGAAAAAATATTAGACACGTACTTTTTTTATTTTGTCGTATAATAAAACAATACTTAGATAAAACGAATCAAAGTTTAGGAGTGGGAGTTAGCTACGTCAGTTTAGAGTATAAATCGTGCTCAAAAGTGACGTCATGCGGTATTTCCAATCAATATATCTTCGAAACTATTTGTTCCCGTAAGAAAAAAATACGTGTCTAATGTTTTAAAATATCTAGCAGACGGACATTAAAATAAAAATTAGTCATCTACCCTATTGTGGGTTCCGTAACGACAGCTGCGAAAAGGTCAAAAGTGTTGTTTTTATTGATTGTTCGAAGTGGAACATCTGTGTTCATACTTTTTATTGCTACTATTCTTAATCGAATATTTAAATCATGATGCTAATCGCTAAACATTGTAATTAGTTAAATATTTTGTAAGAATGTTATCAAAAAGTAATGTGAAATTGACAAACGTAGCGCCATCTATGCGTAAGTGAGGCAAAACTGTTTGCTAAATTTGTTGTCTATGTACAAACTCGTCGAATACATTAGTCTATGTTTGAACCTACTTACCAATGATTTTTATTAATATTAACCCGTTAAATTGTTGAAAATCAACCCCTAAATTTGTTCATACGAAAGTAGTCTCTAAACATTGGAAATAAGGTCTATAGGAAATAAATATCTTCAACAGCTGGAATACACTCTTAAATGTATCCCTTAGTCGGCTCTTACGAAAT